GCATACTGGCAGTGCAGGAGATAAAATCCACAGCTAGTTTGAGATGTAGCCTCTAAAAAATTTAAAGCAGCATCATAGTTGTGATATGTAGCTTCTTAAGGGGCGAGAACAGACACTGAGTAATTTAAAGCACTCTGAGGACTGCTGCTTCCTTGCTAACAAGTTCCAGAGCAAATGCAGCAAATGGAAAGTGCGGGAGAGAGATGGGTAACACATACCTGAATGCACAGAGGAGAGCCTGCGGGTAAGGCTAACATTCTCATTGGACTAGGTTAGCTGGTACGTGCTTTCCCAACAGATAAGGCCACAGTGCTATTTTGAAAGGGCTGGAGTGTCCATCTACATGACAGTGACCACAAAATATGTGCTTCCAGCTGCAAGAACCTCCTCCCAGAGGAAAGCACATGGAGGTGCTGGAGTGGAAAGTAACAGGATGTATGCTATGTGTGTGTTTGAAGGGGTGGGGTTTGGAATGGTAGAAAATTCTGGTTCTATAGTGAGATTATTCTAGTTTTGGATGAAAATTAGTGAACTACCTATATTTCATTTATAGCCATCCTTTTGATAATGAAGTATTGAAAAAAGTACTGTTTGAACTTTTAGGTAAAAATCTGGCCTCAGTTATATTCTAGAATTTAAATTATGAGTTTTGTAAGTATTTAAGTGTATATATGTGTTTATGCATATATACACATTTTTTAAAAAGCAATGCCTTTCAAAATTCTGTTTCAGTGTAAGTTTGATAGCTCTTTGGTAAATATTTATGAATACCAATTGTTAACAAGTATGAAAAGGCTGGCAGTAATGTCAGCTAGAAGTTGTTTGGGCTTTTTGAGATTCTTCAGAGAAGACTGATAAAATTTATGAATAAGGATTATTTTCTAAAGTAGTTTTGAGCACTTTTTATGGTTACTATGCTTTCTCACTTATCCAAACAGAAACACACCAAAACTCCAGTTAATCAGAAGGATTTTTTCCTTATTTCCAATATACACATATTCCAACTTTGAACACATTAAATAGTGGTATTTCATAACATCAGTACACTTAACAATTACTTATTGCACAGTCTGAAGGGCCGCCAGGTCTAGATCAGAACCCGCGGGTGGGGAAGCGGAGACCCGGTGATGTCTGGCAACGACCTTCACAGTCCGAGAGGGCCGCGCGTCCCGCACGCACCCGCCGAGCCGGATTCGCCGGGCCGCGCGCCAGTTAAGGGCTGTTGTCCGGGAAACCAGCAAACAGACCAGGCAGCCGGGAGTGCGGAAGGCGCAGCCGACTCTCCGGCTGCCCGAGATCCCAGGGTGGGGTGGGAGGGAGGCCGCCAGGTCGGGAATGGGTGGGGCTGTGCCACGCAGCAGCAACCCCGGGGCCGCCCGGGTCCCAGCGGCATTTCCGGAAACGCCTCCCGCTGCTCTGCGCCCGGAGGTTTGGGAGGCGAGCCTGGTTTGCTGGTCCCTGCTCCCTGTCCCCTCGGCTCCGGTTCCTAGCGCCCAGGCGCCAGGGAGAGCGCGTGCTCTGTGAGGGTAGATGCGGAGGCACACGTCTAGGGTGGCTCAGTTGGCTGCTGCCGGAGTGACCCTCCCCAAACCATCCAGCCGGCCACCGTCCAACAAGTTCTGACAGAAGGGCAGTCAGGCCAAGCGCTGTTTCTTTCAGGCGCCTGGGACACGCGGCAGATCCAGGGCCACTGCTCTGATAGAGCTTATATTCCAGTGTAAGTAACAAAACAAAAATAAACGGACAAGACAAACTCGAACAGAGGTGTAGAGAAAATCAAACTGTGGTTAGCTTTTTGGATTGGATGGTGGGTAACCTGACCTGAGCCCTTGATAACAAGGCGCTAACAAAGCTATTAGAGTGCAAGGCCTCGCCCCCTGCTTACCTCCTTCGCAAGGCCATTGCAGAGTAGGATTTGATTTGAACATTGCAAGCACCTGCTAGTTCGTATTCCTGAAGCTTTGGCCTTCTGCATTCCCCAGGGCTCTGGGGGCAGAGTGGTGGTGTGACTACTGGCCTGGATATGCCTAAAGCCAATCCAGGGCCTCATGGGAAGGCTGTTAGACTGATACTGGATGGAATGGGTATGGAACCCAGGGAGAGGGGGTGTGTTTTCATCTCTAGTACTGTTGGGGCAGAGGTCACCCAGACCCTGGAACTTGTGCTGGTCAGATTGGCAAATGTCTCTCCCCACTGAGGGATAGAGGCCTACTGGGTTCTCAGCTCCAGCTGCTAGCCATAAGGTCGTCCCTTTATTTCTCCTGATTCCATGTCTGTATTCACCAGTCATGTATTAGAGTCTGTGGGTACTAATTTTACTAAATTAAAAGTGTGGAAAACTCATGCACTGGCCATCCAGTTTTGTTTAAATACAGTTTATTAATCATATGGTGGAAAATCTGCCAAATTGCCACAGATCAAGCCCTTGCAGTATCTTTAATCCTTGTCAGCAATGATATTTGACTTTGCAGTCCTAACTTTACTTTTACTGCCTTCCTTTCAGTGTTCTCTTAAGGTCTTTTTTTCTCACATGTCGTGTCTTTCAAATTTATATGTAGCTTTTTCTGTGTAGTTTAAGGAATCAAAAATCATGACAAAATCTGGTGTCTCACCCCCACCCAAGTGGGCTCTGAATTCCAAGACAAAGATGACACCTGTGTGGTCTTGTGCATTTTGGCTTATTTTCTCTGAATATTTTAGGTACTGTTGCCATTCTAGGATGAATGGCATCTTAGGGCCATTTGTTGAAGCATTTCATTCGTGATTAAAACTCTGGTTCCAGATGATTGGCTATTCATAATGGCTGCTAGGTATCAGGAAGCCAGAGTGGTAAAGAGAAAATTTTCTATGAAGAAAAAGTCACTTTTTAAGACCTAACGTATTAAAGTTCCCACATAACCCCTCCCTGATTCTACTCCCCTCTAACCCTTCTCCTGAGGTAACTGCTGTCCTGCATGTTTTTATACCATTAACACATTTCCCTATGGCTTTGCCATGTTTTAAATTTTAAATAAATGGCATCATACTGTATCATTTTGTAATTTGCTTTGATTCCATAATAGATTTACTAATATTTTATCCACTCACTTTCACTGCTATGAAATTCATAGTATTGCACCATATGAATATGCTACTCCATTCCCCTGTTGAAGGTTAGTTTATTTCTAGTTTTCACCAGTTTCACATATACTAGAGTTTCTCTATAAGTCAAACTTCTTGTGCTGGAGTATATGAACTTCACTGGACACTGTTAAATTGCTCTCTAGAATTACTGTGCCAATTTACCCTCTCAACCAATAGTATGAGTCCCCATTTTTACATGTTTGCTAAATCTTGATATAATCAGACTTAGATTTTTTTAAATTAGTAAAACAGGCATGTTGATTTCTATGTCTGTTTTTTGTTGAGTTTGGCTATCCTGTGTCAATCCCCCATCTGTAGTTAGTTTGTGGACCTGTAGACCTCAGGATCTGGCTACTGATCATGTGAGGAGGATGAACAGATAAGCTACAGACTTGAGAGAAGTATTTGTAAACCACATGTCCAAACAAAGGACAAGTATCTAGGATATATAAAGAACACTCAAAACACAATAGTAAGAAAAGAATGCATTTAGAAAGTGGGCAAAAGATACAAACAGGTATTTTACTGAAGGTATTAGAGGGTAAATAAGCACATGAAAATGTGCTCACCATGACTGCTATTAAAGAAACAAAGTCACAATGATATATCCACTACTAAAATAGCTAACATAAAAAACAGTGCAACAGCAAATGCAGATGAGGATGTGGAAAAATTGGATCACTCATAAATTGCTGTGTGGAATGTAAAATGGTAGTCATTCTGGAAAACAGGTTGGCAGTTTTGGAAAAACCCAAGCATGCAACTACCCTATGACCCAGCAGTTGCACTCTGGGCATTTAGGCATTTATCCCAGAAAAATGGAAACTTATGTTTACACAAAAACCTGTACACAAATGTTTGTAGTGGTTTTTTAAATAATAGCTCCAAACTGGGAAAAACTCAGATGTCCTTCAATGAGTGGGTGAACAGTTAAACTAACTGTGGACTACTACTTAGCAATAGAAAAGAATTAACTATTGATAGATGCAATCTCGAGAATTATGATAAAAAAAAGCCAATCCTGAAAAGTTATATACCATATAATTACATTTATGTAATGTAAATTTCAAAGTGGCAAAACTATAGAAATGTAGAACAGACTAGGGGTTGTCAGACATTGCAAACAAAAGACAGGGTAAGATGGGAGGGTAGTGGGAAAAGAGCAACATGAGGGATCTCTGGTGATGGGAGTGTTGTATGTCATTGTTAATGTCCTGCTTGTGGTATTATACCATAGTTTTGCAAAATGTTACCACTGGGGAAACTGCATAAAGGGTACATAGGATCTCTGCATATTATTTCTTAACAGTTGCACATAAACCCACAATTATGTTCAAATACAAATCTTTTAAAAGTGTATTATTCTGTATCTGTAACTTCTTAATCAGAGGTTAATGAACATAATTGAACTATTTAAGAATCAAGGTTATCGTTCTGAATAGCAAACACCTAGGGCTAAAAAAAGGCAATAATCACAGGAACTCCGTGGCCAGTCTCTTCTGTCTGGCTCTTCCTGTGCCTCTTTCCCCTCTGACCCCAAGCTGTTTCTTTTGCTATGGTTAGAAAAACATTCATGCTTCATGTGTTATGTTCAAGCCAACAAGATTTTGAATGAGGGCCTCTCTTACAGAATCAGGCTCGGGTACCTAAATGATGATTTGTAATCTCAGAATATCTTTCCTCTTATTTTTAGATAAGTATTAAATGGAGAAGTAAAATGGATGAAAATGAGGCCTTGAATTAAAATACCAGTTATGACAATAAGAGGTAATCCCCAAATGTCACTAAACCTGTGTATGCTATTGTATGTCACTAAACTTGTAACGTTCAAGGAAAATGGCTGAGAAAAATTCTTCCCTTTTGAGCAAAGTAGTCAATATGGTAAAGACAGGTATTTTTATTTCATATGACAGCACACTTCACAGGATATGTACAGAATGTTTGTGTACCACTGACTTCAGTACTGTACTTCTGTAAAGTATATAAATATTGTATGCCACATAAGCAATAAAATTCTTACATATAAACAGCAATCTACTATAGAGAACAAAGAATTCACAAAGAGATCCTTAGTGTCTAATGTCTGCTCTGCTTTTAACAGAACTGGTAAATATTTTAATAATACATAGAAGAATGGCTATTTGCAGCATACCTTTAACTTTCTTTCATAACTGTGCACTTTCAGCAACTTGCCAAACACAATTTTCCTGATAAAGGCTGAGCTGCTGCATGATATGTGTATTTTAGACAGTAGTTTATATTCAATAGGAAACATTGCTCATAGAACTGCAATCTGCACTAGTGAGGTTTATAATGAATTATTTTGCTAATGGAGAGCAAATACCATATACACTAATCACATAGATGTTAGAGCCACAGTTTCAACAAGTTAATTCACATTTTGAAGCGCACTGCTTATAATAATACTGCTGTTTAAAATATACTACTGCTGAAATGATCAGAACCCCAAAAAAAGCACAATATAAAACTCACAAGAGTTATTTCTAACAACAAATCATGGCTGTTAACAGAGAGAGGATTACTTCTATAAATATAGTATTTTGGTAACATTTGAGCATTTAGAAAAGTGCTTTTTCCTACTAGATTTTCTTTATGTGGTTAAGTGCAATGCAGTTTGCTGTGCTTTTACATTTTACACATTCTTAGCCAGGAACTTAATTTTCTGATATTCTGCCAAAGCACACCTTTACAGGTTAAATGTGGACAATGGACTTTAGGTGGACACATACAACTCTATGTAAAAGGAACATTAATATGAACCTTAATGAGTAAAGATGATTTTAACTTAAACTGACAACAAAACAGCATTGCTCAAGTTTTCTGATTGGGATTACTTAATGACATAAAAATACAACATTCTGTAAAACTTCTGGGTACTTCTCCGTAAAATAAAAGCAGGACTGGTTGCATACTGGCAGTGCAGGAGATAAAATCCACAGCTAGTTTGAGATGTAGCCTCTAAAAAATTTAAAGCAGCATCATAGTTGTGATATGTAGCTTCTTAAGGGGCGAGAACAGACACTGAGTAATTTAAAGCACTCTGAGGACTGCTGCTTCCTTGCTAACAAGTTCCAGAGCAAATGCAGCAAATGGAAAGTGCGGGAGAGAGATGGGTAACACATACCTGAATGCACAGAGGAGAGCCTGCGGGTAAGGCTAACATTCTCATTGGACTAGGTTAGCTGGTACGTGCTTTCCCAACAGATAAGGCCACAGTGCTATTTTGAAAGGGCTGGAGTGTCCATCTACATGACAGTGACCACAAAATATGTGCTTCCAGCTGCAAGAACCTCCTCCCAGAGGAAAGCACATGGAGGTGCTGGAGTGGAAAGTAACAGGATGTATGCTATGTGTGTGTTTGAAGGGGTGGGGTTTGGAATGGTAGAAAATTCTGGTTCTATAGTGAGATTATTCTAGTTTTGGATGAAAATTAGTGAACTACCTATATTTCATTTATAGCCATCCTTTTGATAATGAAGTATTGAAAAAAGTACTGTTTGAACTTTTAGGTAAAAATCTGGCCTCAGTTATATTCTAGAATTTAAATTATGAGTTTTGTAAGTATTTAAGTGTATATATGTGTTTATGCATATATACACATTTTTTAAAAAGCAATGCCTTTCAAAATTCTGTTTCAGTGTAAGTTTGATAGCTCTTTGGTAAATATTTATGAATACCAATTGTTAACAAGTATGAAAAGGCTGGCAGTAATGTCAGCTAGAAGTTGTTTGGGCTTTTTGAGATTCTTCAGAGAAGACTGATAAAATTTATGAATAAGGATTATTTTCTAAAGTAGTTTTGAGCACTTTTTATGGTTACTATGCTTTCTCACTTATCCAAACAGAAACACACCAAAACTCCAGTTAATCAGAAGGATTTTTTCCTTATTTCCAATATACACATATTCCAACTTTGAACACATTAAATAGTGGTATTTCATAACATCAGTACACTTAACAATTACTTATTGCACATAATGAATAACTAATGCCCAGTTGTTCTGGCTCTATCCTGCCAAAACTAAAAAACAACTGCTTTCTATTGTATCCACTATCTTTCCATGAAGTCTACAGTGGGTGAGGCCTTAGATGCCAAGGTTGTGAAAGGATCTACTGGAGGGGTGGTACCAGGTGGAAGCAGAGGGACCAGAGGTGGAGGTGGTCTTCTTGATGGCAACACACAGAAAGAAACATCTGTACTGTTGTTCCAGGCATCATCAAAGGTCACGCTGGAGCCAGAAAATGAACCTGGTTGATTATCCAGTAAGTTTGGACAAGCTGACGGTGACTTCTCTTTCACACTGAAGTCCTTTTCTTCCTCGAAGGTTACCCATCCTTTTGGATTGCTAATTTTTACTGTAGGCTCGCCCTGCAAATCAAAACTGTCCTTAAAACCATCAAGTGAGAATGAAGGCTTAGTATTGTTATGACCAAGAGGCTTCAGAGGAGGAAAAGAACTCTTAGCAATGGGCTCTTCTTTGGAGAACAATGAAGTTGCCTCTGATTCTTGATACTCAGCTCTAAATGGGTTTCCAGGAGCAGCAGTCCTGTCAGTGAAAGGATTTGTGCTGGGTAAGGTGGTAATAAATGGGTTTGGAGAACATCGTGTATTTTCCTGGGATTTACTCCGGGCTGGTATTGGAGGCACTGCTGACACGCAACTTATAGAACTCAAAGTATTAATGTTACTTTGGGTTGCAGAAAGTGACTCAATCAACGTGTTTGGGTTTGCGGTTAGAACAGGTGACGTTTGAACAGATAACTGAGCCTTTGATATAGCAAGCAGATTAAATGACAGATCTTCAAATGGGTCACTCTTTAACGGTGATTCCAGTCTGACAGCAGAGACTCCGTTTTTTACCTGGAAAAGACAGCACTGCCTAATAAATGTAAATATATAAATGTATTTATGTGTGTGGTATACACCCCCCCACACACACACACACATTTAATACCCCTTCTTTCTGTCTCAATTATTCTTCATTTTTTGGAGAAAGTATACAAATTTGAAAGTAAAAAGCAGGTTTGTGTAGTTTGTTACTCAGGTGATTTAAGTAAGGTAAAACAACTAAACTCTTTTTCTTTAAAAACTCCCTACTAAATAAACACTTTCATTAAATACATTTCTTTTAAAATCCCAAGGAAATTAAATAGAGCTTATTTCATTCATGCAAGTACTGATATGATGAAATGGGGAACTGTACAGAATTAGCAAATGAGTTTTGTTCATGCCCAGTTCCTTCAAATGTTAGCACACATTTAAGAAATCCATATTTAGAATTTATGTTAAATCTATATATCAAACTTCCAACACCCATCTATGATGATTTGGTTTCACTGTTCTTTCAAATGTATTTTCATTTAAAGTTAATGTTACTATGGAAATCCAACTTTATGAATGAAAATTTTATTAGTATATTTCTTAAGCTGAAGACAATGCATCTTTTCCATTTCTACTTGTTAAAATTAATTTTCAAGGCATTCTTTGCCTTTTAAGTTCTCCTTTGTAAACTTTATGTGAATGTGACAATATCCCTTAACTGACCTTGTTCATCTTATAAAAATGTTCTAAAACATTTGTATAATCATTAATAATTAGTGATCAATCATAAGTTAATAATCATATGCAATGATTTTTAAAACCAGGGGTAAAAATCCCATTTTCTCTGTGGGATAATAATTCTAAAACTAAAAGAAGCTGTGCCTAGAGTGGTACACAGTCCTTGCTAGGTGACAGAGTTGGCTGTGAACTCCTACTGGTAGCAGTGTTCTGACTTACTTTATGGTCATACAAAATGTGCACTCTGCTTAATTCAAAAGAGGAGTGTAGCATGGCCGAGAGACCGAGCAAAGCCAATTTTTCTTATGGGAAATGGAACTATGATCCCGGCTTTATGAGCAAATTTAGCTCATGAGGTACTTCATTTTAATGAAAAAAGTAAATAAAACCGTCTACATAATTATTAAAATTAGGTAGATGACTTGTATATTTGTGCCAAATTTAAAGACAGGAAAAACCTTTGGGTTGGAAAAGACAGGAAATTTTAGCTCAAGATTAGCAATGTAACAAACTGGAGCACTACCCACAATGAATTTAGCAAGTTGTTGAAGCAAAAATCATAAACCTTTCATGAAGAATGCTAAAAAAAGAGCAGCAGTTCCAATAAAATGTAATTACATATTATGAAACAGTGCTCTGGTAGGAAGAGTGAAGGCTATTCACTTGCAAAAGGAAATGCTGTGGATATCATAATAAAGTGAGTAACTTTCAAGCACCTCATTGTTTTATTCAATTGTCCTAGAACATACTTTATCACTGAATAAACAAGCATATCTTTAACAATATGACAATAAAGTTGTAAAAAATTAAAAACTAAACATGTCACAGCTCTAAACTGATTCTAAGGGTATTAAAGGTAAGCAAACCTATATATGGAAATCTACTTGAGAGGCCAATTGCCATAGAAAACATAAAATTATAATTAACTACACTAACAATCTCTGGATTATTTATGATTAATATAACAAAATATAAGCTCTTGATTGGGTTTCCAATTCTCCCATGGCAGATAGAACAGTCCACAACATACATGTTACAGGAAAGGAGAATTTTATGCTTTGCACAGCTTAAAGTAGTAGGCCCCTGCCAGGTAAGTGCCACACATTTAAATATCTTTATTTTCATATCTAAAAATTTTTTCAAAATAAGTTAAAATAATTAAAATATAATTTGATAGAAGCAAGGTCATTTTGCTCAATCAGACTTGAAATGATCATCAGAGCCATACCACCATTCTCTCTATTAGAATTAATTTATCACCTAAGCAGGATTTGTGATGACATTAAGAATGGTGGTAGTTTTACAAAGAAAGGTGTTGGAAGGACCTTTAAATAATTCTGTTATACTAATTTTTAATCTTCCTAGATAATCAATTCTTCCTTACAAAAAATAATCTTGCTAACTAAAATTTGAAAATAATTTCCCAAAATAAACCTAAGAAAAAAATTACATTTTATATTTTTGTAATTAGGCCATTGTTAAAACCAAGAATCCATTTGGTTTTGCCAAAAAGACTTTCATATACCTAAAACTTACCTTCTTGAAGTCACACTTTTTAGTTTTGTTAATTTTCATTAAAAAAAAAAGCAAAAATGGTAAAGCATTAGCAAGACTAAAATGGTTCCTAAAAATTCAAGGTACTAAGAAAAGAAAAGGCAGGTTTTATGGTATGGTACTAGAACTTATTAATGTGGACAGGTGGTTTTAAAAATGGGTGAAGTTTTAGATGTATGAAGCAAAAGATTCATACATCTAATGTGCTAAGACAGATGAAAAGCACATATAAGATTGAGAAATAATCCAATACCTGTTACCCTGATGGTTGCTCCTGCTTTGAGAAAGGGAACACAGACATCAAAGGAAAGAGTTAGGAGGACAATCTGAGACCAACCAGCAACCCTTAGAAATCAGTCTTCAAAATACCTTAGTTGTGTTATATACAGAATCTGAGAGCAATGATATTTGCAGATCATAGCATAAATTCAAAAGATAATTCCAATTTCTTTTGTAATTTTGAATGAAAAATGTATTGTTGAATTAAGGCTCAAACTTGAATTATACCTGAGTTTGATCACTGACCATTTCAAAGTTTTGTTATTCCAAATAGGTTTTGGAGCCCTAAAATATTTTAAACAGCCTGTTATGAATGGAATATTTGTGTCCTCTCCAAATCCATATATTGAAGCCCTAACCCCAATGTGATGGTATTTGGTAATGGTAACAAGTAAAGCTGGGCCACGCAAGTTTTTATGTTTTAAAGACCTTGCTGATTTTGGGCAGAATTAATGAAGACTTGAAAAAGTGACTGAGTATTCAATACTAAGATTACTTCATATTACTACCAAAATATTACCTCTATATTTTAAAATCTCATTCTTTTCAATATATAGCCACTGCATTAGATTTTTAAAATTCTGTTATCCCTCACAAAGACAGTCTACGCACAAACAAGATTCCCCTTCTCCCCCCAAAAAAAGTGCATGTGTGTATCATGTTCAAAGGAATTTGATATCAATAACTTAGCAAGAAGAATATTTCGAATTTAAAACAAACATCTTTGGTACTTTTGATGAAATGAATATAAGATTCAAGAACACAATCTACCAGGCCATACACAAAACATGTGCTGTCTGCACCAAATTATCACCTGTTCCCATGAAAAACAATGGAAAATAATCTAAGAAAATGATAATATGGCAGTCACTGGGATATTCTTCCTGTAGTATTTTTGTGTCATAGATGACTTTCTACTGAAAATTGTAATCCTACTTGACAGTTTGCTCTTTCTGAAGTTTTCCAGAATACTGCAATTACCTTCGTAATGATCTAAGAATACTTAAGTCATTATAGGACTTTAAGAATAAAGGTTCACCAGAGTAGCACAGAGAAGGCACACAGTGGATCTGTGGCATCTTACTACACTGATGGACAGTGACTGCATTGGGGTATGGGTGGAGACTTGATAATATGGGTAAATGTAGTAACCACATTGTTTTTTCATGTGAAACCTTCATAAGAGTGTATATCAATAATACCTTAATAAAAAATTAAGTTAAAAAAAAGAATAAAGGTTCACTTTAACTGTAAAGTGGATACTCACTCTCTGGTCTAAAATAGTCAATAGAAAGCTCTACAAAAGCTAGTTTGAAAGTTTTTTGCCCTCCAATTACATTAAAAAAAAATACAATAGTACACATTAAGAAAGTGAGAAGAAAAATTCATGACTCACTAGAAGGGGACTGGCAGAAAGAAAAGAATAATAGGTTTTTCTTGTTGATATATCTATTATTGAAGGATTTCTACATTTTTTATGTATCTTCAACATCCCCAATCTTTTGAAAAATTATAGAATACTTTTTGGTATTATCAGCTTAAAAGAACATTTTATTTTTCTCAATTATATATCTTCCTTCAGCTTTTACAAATGTGACTATCTAATGATAAGTGCTAATCGCTAACAATATTAATATTGCTTTGAGTCATATTTACTTCAGTATCTGTTTTTCACCATGTACAATTATTAAGAAACTGTTAAGCTCTGCCAACTAGCTAGACATACCCAGATATCTGTAAAAATAAATGCAAACTATTATTTATAACTGCTTAAGGGACACTGCCAATGTGTAATATTTCTGTATTTTAGATCTTTCCAAAGTTAAAAGCAGCCTTTTGAAACTACATATTTCTTTGGTGTTGATGGCATTTTCAAGTTAAAAATGTAAAATAAAATAAAATTTAAGGCTAGACAACAAAAGTGTACTTAGTTAACAAATTTTAACAATTTTACTGAAATGTATACAACAAAACGAAGTAAAATAGCATCCAAACAAAAACAATTTAACTTGCCTGCTTATTCTATTATTAAAATAATTTGGTATATGCACCAGAAATCTTTTCAATGTGAGAACACTCTGGCATAACAAAAGTCCCTATGATCCTACGATTTTCACCCACTAAGGCAATGGCACTGTTGTCTGTGTGACACCAGTGAGGTGCCATTATTTTGGTGGTTTTATTTATTTGGCGAATAAGCCTGCTGCTGCATGCCCAAACCATCTCAACTGATCCAATAATGACTGAAACTGTTTGAAATAACTGAGGAACCCCAGTGCCAGCTCCACAACAGAAAAGAACTACTATGTGCATCTGGAGGAACAAAAGCATTTATTCTCTGATTACTGGAAATTGACCACAGTGCCAATGGTCAGGGATTGGTCTGACTGCCTGCCTCTCTAAGAAATGAAAGCCAAAACTAATATATTAGCTGTGAACAATAAGAAACACAAACTATTATTGTTCATCCCAATTCATTAACTAAAAACCCAGTCAGAAATACCAACAAGGTAATACACACTGGGAATCAGTTGGGGATTCCATAAAGAATCCTAAGCAAGAGAAAAACAAAAACAAAAAAACCAAACCCTCAAACAGCTAAACCGTGCATTTGTTATGTGACTAGTTTGAGATGCCAAATGACACTCATTTTGTTGAAGTCATATTTCAATATACTATTACTACCAAAAGGCAAAAATAAAAAGAAAATTGAATTTTGTATTTATTTCTTATAAAAGCTAATAATTTAAAAAGTATGTTCAAGGCTATTCCAAAGGCATCTTTGACATTTTTGCCAGTGGGGCTTACCTGCGGTTGTGATGGAGGTTCTGGAGGCAAGGTGTGGGACGACCTGCTCCGAGGTGGTGGCTGGGGGGCGGACTGGGGTGTAAGTGCTGCCACAGGGACAAGAGGCTCCTGCATCTTTTGAAGTGGTGAGAGTGGAGAAGGCTGCGCAGGAAGGGCAGCCTGAGGTTTCAGGGGTTCAGGAAGAAGAGCTGGACCTAAAAAATTAATGTTCAGAGGTTAGGTGTTTTCTAGAAAAACCATGTTTTGTCCTTCCTTTAGTGAAACAATAGGAGATTCTGGTCCCCCCACCCCTACCACCAAGTAGCCTCGTTTCTTATGGATAAAGAAGGTAGGCTATCCGTGTTTGTATCCAGCTGTGGCAGGTGAGAGACGACAGAAACGAAAAGGCAAAGACAAAGTGAGAGGAAAGAGAACAGAACAAAGCTGGTATCTCTGAACATGGTGGCATCTACCTTTCAGTACTTCTGGGGGTTTGCTTTGGCCTTCAGGAGTCAGTCTTCCAGCAGATGCCCGAGCCTGGCTCTGTGGGGCACTGATTACTCCAGCACGGGGTGGAATAGCCTGAAAATGAGGAAGAGAACATTTGAGACATTTACTTATTTTCAACAGATGAAGAGTTTGTGAAATACTTGCTTTTGCATCTCAATCTCCCTTCCGGTATTATCTCCCATCTTGACATTTTAATTTCTCTCTGTAGTCATTTAGTCCTAAGGCTTCAAGTCTTCCTTTTTATTTTTTACTGTTTACTGTGTACCAGGCATAATTAAGCACTATAAAGGCATTTCCATTTCATCTTCAAAATATCCTTCAAATATCCATAGCTATTATTTTATCATCTTTATTATAAATTAAGATGAAGATGTACACAACTTTCCCAAGGCCACAAAGCTAGAAAATAAAGCCAGGGTCCAAAGTTCTGACGAGCTGCAGGGCCCTACAAGGCTTAAGGAAAACCATACTGAATTTTTTTTTTAAACACCTAAGTAAAAACTGAGTGACTACCTCAACATGCTAAATTAAATACATGAACAACACACTGATGAAAAATATATTTTCTATTTTCATAAGTTTGCTCAAGGCTCTAAGCCTCCAATACTTCTTACTTTAAGCAAAAGTTATGAATGTAATCTCACAAAATCTTCACTTGTTTTCCCTATTCTTAAAGTATTAAATAGAATAAACTAAACTGTGTGGGAAGTAGTGCATGAATCAGTGAATAGAAATTTTCCTTTTTTTGAAAAAAGCAGAGTGAGAAATAAATAATTTAAAGGTACATTCCATGGACATTTTAATTCAGAGTGTAACACTGAAAACAGTAAAGGACATTTAGAATGATGTTACATAGACAGCTACAACAGAAAAAATTTATATCTAGAAATTTTGTGATAATTTCTTATTAGATATTAGAAGTAGCTTCATTAGTAGTTTCTTAATGTCTCACAATTTAAATTTCCCATGATAATTATAGTTCCCAGTTTCCACTCCTCAACTGGGCGCCTCCCAGCAGTCCTAGGCTCCACTAGATTAGCCCAAGTCACTAACTACCGGTTTCCATTTTCTTTCTTTTTTAAAAATTACTTGTTATATCCCAAAGAAAATTTTCATTTGGGTGAATAACAGAACAATTATCTACATAAGAGAACATATGATAAACATATAGAAACTACCAGTATTATATTAAACTACACTAGCTGCTCTCCTACTTTTAATACCATTAGAACTAGTTTTAGTATACAGAGCCCATCATAAATTTTCTTCCTGAAATCTTTTTAAATCCTTCTTACTGAAGGATGACTTTATATCCACATTACTCAGATAATATGATAACAGGTTATACAAATGTCATCCCTTCACAGACTTAGAGATTCTAAGATATTTAGTGATCATAATTAAAGTGTATCACTTTTACTCAAGTAATGAAGCATACTTAGTTATTTTTGAAGAATATGTTAAAAAATGTTAGCATTTATTGAAAGGCACCTTGGAGATCATCAAGCGCAATTCTCTCATTTTAGAGATAAGGGAATGGGGGCCTCTATGGGTCACATGATTTTCCAAGATAACCATCTGTCTAGTAGCAACTTGGAACCTAGAACCTGACCTCTTGCCAGGCTGCCAAGCTAGGTGTCACCTACTGGTTTGGCTGCACTGTATCCAGCAGGTCCTGGGCCTGTGGGTCCTGCCTGAGCTGAAGGCTGACTGCGTCCTGGAATAAGACAGCACACCATACATTTAACTTATTAAAGAAAGAAATAAGAAACCATGTACTTATATCCCAAGTGTTACTCATGGCCCAGGTTTAAGGTTAATAGCTAAATTCAAGTGTTTTTACCTATATTATCTTTCCGTGTTGTTCCAGGGCTTTTCGGTGCTTTGAAGCAGGAAGGAAAAAAAATTAGTCATAAGTAAACAAAAAAGCAACCCTGCATAACATCAGCTGGCTGATGTTTTATTAGCAGCAGAAACACAGCATGAGATGGTAACAGAAGTACTTTGCCTTAGATAATGATGAGGGTGTTATCAGTCCTGAATGAAATATACCACAAGAGGGAAAATCAGAATACTTATAGTGACATCTATGGGAGACAGCTAAGCCCTCAGCCTGATGCCTCAGTCATGGCATCACTATTAAGGTAACTTTCCCAACAGAGTTCTCTCCTATGACCCTGAAAACACATGGTCAGCTTGTGTGAATGGTGACAAGAGGTGGTACTACTGCTTCTCAGAACTTAGCAGACAAATAGCTCCTGAGAAATAGAACTGCATTTTCCAAGTTACACAAGGGCATATAACAACAGTGTTTTAGGGCTTCATACTGTCAATGCCATTATGGATAATGTAATCTTGTGATGAGATCTTTTGCATTTCTTTCTTTTTTTTTTTATACTTTAAAAAAAATTCATTTTGTTATCATTAATCTACAATTACATGAAGAACATTATGTTTACTAGACTCCCCCCTTCACCAAGTCCCCTCCACAAACCTCATTACAGTCACTGTCCATCAGCATAGTAAGATGCTGTAGAATCACTACTTGTCTTCTCTGTGCTGCACATCCCTCCCTATGCACCCCCACACATTATACATGCTAATTGTAAGGCCCCCTTTCTTTTTCCCCCAGCCTTATCCCTCCCTTCCCATCCATCCTCCCCAGTGAGATCTTTTGCATTCTGTAACAAAATCCTACAATCAAGGTAGGAGACCAGCACCTCTACTAAGTATCTGCCTTACGGAAAACAGTGTTAAAAATGTGTTCAAACTCATTAGAAAGGTAGGAAGGAAAAAATGAAATAAATTACTTTTAGAGACAAAAAGTAGGTGGGACCAAAATGGGGGCATCTACAATTTACTCTTTTTGAAAGGAAATTCAAGTGCAATTATGTGAAAACATCAGCCCTTTAGTAACTATAATCTTACTGAATGGCTTCCAGTCTTAATGGTCTTTTAAGCAAATTTAGTTCAGTATCATTATACACAAAAACATTTATGTTACCTGAAGTCACCCACAAAATATATTCTTGGACCTGAATTAATAGGGTTTAATTATAATTATTAATTTTTAAAAGTTCAGAGGTAGTAGAGGACATTTCCATATTTGACTTATATGAAAAGACTTGAAGGCATTCTTTTTAAAATTAACATTGTACAGTAATTTCACATCCTGAGTCTGTATAAAATATATACAAAACAGAACGCAAAACAACATAAGAATTTCAAGGAAATGGATATCCATTAGAAACTGTACACAACATAAAATGAAAAGAGAGAAAATACAAGGTTATAAGATATACATGGGATGGGGAGTGGACACTTCTAGTTGAACTAAGTAGAGATTTAGTGTGCCTTTAAACACTGCAGGGGCTGACATTTAGAAAGAAAATGAGAAACTCATTTCTCTTGCCCAGCTACCCAGGACTGGGAGGGGCTCCAATACCTTTCTAGAGAAAGAAGAGAAGCTGTATTTCATTCAGGTATTTTGTGTACCTGCACATAATGAAAGGCAGGTACACAAAACAATTTCTGCAGTAAACTTACTTTTGCAAAAAGGTTCTCTACTGCTTTAAATTTCTTCAACAATATCAATACAAACCAAAGTGACTTAAGGTGCCTAGCCCAGCTGAATCCTCCCTTTCCTCAAACAGAAAAGTAGAAAGAGGATGGAGGTTTCTTTTTATATTTGAGATTACTAGTAGTAAGGAATTAAAAAATTTGTTTAATGAAAGCCTTTGCTTTATGATCATCTCATTATATTCAGTTACTCAAATCATTAATAAATCAGTTAAATCATTAATAGAAGCTTTACTATTTGACAATCAGGAAGGGAAAAAATTACAAAGTTTCAATTTCATTTTAAACTTCTGCCCATAAAAGAATTATGAATGTAAAGAATTCTCTAAATGAGTCACTGAATTGATTAAACTTTTAACAAATTCATAAACATTTATTTTCTATAGCTGTTTTCTAATTAAAGAAGATAAATAGAATTTATCATGAAAATATAAATAGCAGGAGTTTGCAATGGAAAAAATTAATGTTTTCTGTAAGTCAATGGAAAAATGATCATCTAGTAGTATTTAGCAGAAGCTGTAATGCTGACATAACTGAGCTATCCTTATTATACACATCATTAAAATCTACACAGAAGCAGAGTCAATCTGTAGTAACACAGGAACTGGTCAGCACTCACATTAGGTAGCAAGAACAGAAAAAGACTAACCACACATGTACAGTAAGGCTTAATAATACTAAAACTAGATTTATAAAATCCAGTGTGTGGAATGGTGAGAACTTGCCTCATCCTTTCATGAGAATTAGAATAGTAGTAAATGTATACTTCCAACTGAGGATCATGAGCTCTCATGTAAACCAAATAAACTACACTTTATAAACAAAAAACCATCCATTTGTTAATAAAACTTTCCTTACTGAGAAATAAAATTATTCTTACATTAAAAAAAATGAGGTATGAGTTTTATGAGAAGTTATGATAAAGCCATGCAAAATGAAAGCTGTATTTCAGATAATTATTATAACTTTAAATTGCACTTCTAGGATATTTTGCTAATCACCAGATTTGCTGAGCTACTAAGAAAAGTAATGTACTAGAGCACCGCTAATCAAATACTTGGGAAATCGTCTTTATTACTGTACCCGAGTCCCTTTTAAAAAAATATGACTTCTGGGAATTACATCTTTATAATTAAACTGACTGTATTTAGAAAAAGTGTATCAGACTTTGATGAATACTCAACAATGTCTACCTAGAAAATGGAAGCCCTTATTAGTTCTATTCACTAATAAAACTAAGCTCTAATCTTTTACTTAACAGGAATATAGTGGACAGTATCAATGTCATTCATTCCAATTTTTAGCAAACAAACCTAAAATGTTTTTCAATTATAGGGGTCAAACTCCCAAACATTAATGAACCAAGATGCATACATAGTAACAAATATAAACTGTTACCTCCAAATTCTTTTCTAGCAGGTGCAGGACTCCTAGCCCCTTATAGTTCATAAGAAAATATGCAGCAGAAAGGAAATGACATTAAATAAAAATTGAAATGTCAAAGACTCATAATAGTATTCATGATGTCAAATATCATGTAGGAACTACATTATTAGTATCTTGGCACTACAAAAAAGCTATTATTTAATGCAAACACTTCTAAGAATTTAAGTAACAACAACATAGTTTTAAAAAAAATTTAAACAAATATATAAAACTTTACAGCAAGTGTATGCATGCTCTTCAGTTCTAATTTTACATTGTACAGAAATTAGTGCAACTACACCAAATGAACAAAAACAAAGCAAACACTTCTTGCTTATTCAGATAGCTATGAAGACACAGTACAAAGACCTAGTCGGGAAACAATCTTTCACCTGTTCCACCACACCTACCATGTTCTTTAGAGAAAAGCTGAAGAGGTAGCAAAAATGATAGGGAAATAATAAAACCTAGAAGCTAGAGGTTTGAAAACATGCAAAACAGTTTTAAATGGAGCAGAGGAGAAGTTTAACTGTAGCAGAAATGGAAATAAAAGGGAGTTACCTGAAGGGGGCGGTGGTCTCTGTGGGGGAGCTGGACGCGCAGGGGGAGCGCCGGGGCGGGGAGGCGGTGGCCGCCTAGGCTCTAATCCCTGGGGAGAGTCCTTTTGCTGTTGTGTTGCTGGCACAGTGTCAACTAAGAAAGTCCATTAGGTGAGAAGATCAGGTTCTAGGTGGGTATGAGTACAAACATATGCTACCACCTATGTATGTATGATAAAGTCTATTTTGCTAATTTTCAAAATTTGTACTATTCAAGATAAAGCTAAGATAGAGAGAAAAGAAGAGACTCCCAGCAGACTGCTGTTGACTCACCTCAAACAATACTTTGTGCCATCTTGATAGGGCCACCCAGTAAATCAGTATATAATATCATACTATAGTGTACTGGCACTCATTTTTATTATCAATGACATAAGCAGTTCTGCCATTAAACTACCCTCTGGTACCACGGCCGCAATCATACTAGCTCTGAATGGGCTCCCCAGGTGCTGAAAACCGATTTACCAGGTGGCCCTATCAAAATGGCGCAGAGTATTGTTTGAGGTGAGTCAACAGCAGTCTGCTGGGAGTCTCTTATTTTCTATCTCAGCTTTATTTTGAATTTAGTTAATGAAGCTAGTTTTCCAAGAGCAGTATAGGAGAATTAGAGAATTTTATGAAATGGAAGATATTTTCTGAAGACGTCAGTTAGCATGGAACAGTGACTTAATCATTTAATTTAACAACTTCTAGAGGAGACAAGTATTTGATCTCTGAAGGAGTAATGACTACAAATTTGAATTTTTAAAAATATGTTTTGTTTCTTCTCGCCTCATACTAAAACAGAGGTAATATACAGATATACAATTAAGTCTGAAGAGTTATGGGTGCTTACTACACTAGAACATCACCAATTATAAGACACAGACAAACATGACCACACAGAAAAAGGATGAAGAAAAATCTCATCTAGTGACAGTGACAATGAGCTTCCTTTCCATTTAGGCCTTAAACCATCTACAAAGTCTCCTTTGGATGCACAGAAAATGTGGTACAGATCCAAAGGCATCAGAGATTGACCATCTAAAATCAAACATACCAGCTCGGGAAAGTTACACAAAACTTTAAATAAAATACGCACTTTGTGGATCTGGGTGCGCAGGAGTTCTTGATGGGGCTCGACTTGGTCTTATGGGAAAGGAAGGTACAGGCCCCTCTGATATTGTAGGTGACTGGCAGGGACTGGTCCGGGGTGAAGAGCTCGGCGACGTGCCAAGGCCAGAACTTGAAGATGGCTGGAGATGCTGAGGCAGAATTTCCTCTACTTCAGCACTATAGTCATCAATGTCACCTAAAGAAATGCAAGGTTGTCAAGGTTACCACCATTTCAACTTCCTCAGAGATTTTTTTTCCACCAATCTAGGTTTTAAATACAAAATACACATGTTAACATGACATAATCAACATGCATGGATTAATCATGTAAACAAAGTTTATATGTATAAAACTAGAATTAGTATAAATGCTCTTACAGCAAATTTAATTAAAATAGTCTATTATCTCAGAGCAACAGGATACTAGTGGTGACTTAACACCTGGAGTTAGGTTGACTGGACAGTTTTCAAAATTCCACCGAGCAGCTACCTCACTGTTGGCTAACTTGAAAGTTACCTGCCTACCTGCTCTATGGAACTGCCCCTCCTGCCTCAACTCAGGGCTGGCCATACAGCAGACAGGCTCTGACAACCACACACCTTCCCTGAAAGTCTCCTCACTCCTTCTTTCCCAGTGGTCCTCCACTCAACACAGACCTTCTTTGCTCTAATTGAACAGGGAGGATTGGTTCTCTTCTGAGATCTCCTTATTTCCCCTTTCCTCAGGGTTGGGAAATGGGGACAGGGTGCCCTTGCAACCAAATTCCAAATACAGAACATTAATCTTCCAGTCTTGAACAAAAAGGCCTATTTCTTCGAGGCTGCACCATCAGGAATTTACATAACACCCTCCATATCCCCACTGTCAGAATCTCTTGTCTCCATTCTTCTGTCACTTGAATCCATTCACCAAGCACTAAGCAGAGGGCAAGATATGGGTCCTACCATCTTTCTGGGTGACATCAAAGTCCACATGGGCAACCCTAGTGGACTTGGTCTTATGCCTACAGACACTCTCCTCCACTCAGAACGGCTCTGCCTTTGAAACAATACTCCCAACGCTTCATTCTGACCACTACCTCCCAGCCTTAGTTACTCTTTCCTCTTCCATTTTCATTAGGATCCCAGCCTTTGAGCCCTCTACTTTCAGCCCCTGCCTGACTTCGCGTCTCTGTATCTGTCTTCAGATTCTATGGTTCTGCACCTCAGCTATTCCCTACTGCACTGTTCTCATCACGCCTGCATCAATTCACCGGTTAAGCTATCCACAACAGCACTTGGGCTGCAGAGGGCTGCTGCTTGAGAAAACCACCTGGTCCTGACGATTGCAGTCACGTTAAATTTGTGACTTTCAGCCTCATGGGCTCCCAAAGCTGCCTGGCAGTTACACAATCTCCTGATTGGCTCTCCTCCTTACTCCTCTGGAGCTTTAAGTCTCCTGATACTGTGGGTGCTATATTTTGGCAGAAAAACTTCACAGAGAAAAGAGAAGTCTCAGGATGGGAGTCCCCCTTCAAAAACTTGCTCCCAAGCTGGAGTCTACTCACATGGCTGACACTCATTTATGGATAGAACAAATGGTGTTCCACCGGCCCTGTTTTCCCAGTGACTCTGCTCTATCACTTACTCAGCCCTGCCCTTCCCCAATATCATCAGCCCTTCTGGAGCAACAAGCATTCTTAAGCCTCTTGCATTTCAAAACAACATTCCTTGGATCCTCCCTGGTGCAGCTGCCTTCTTCTCTCCCTGTACTCCCATGTTAGCCAAACTCCCTTCAAGGGAGGTCTGTAGACACTCTCTCCACCTTCTATCCACACCTCAATTTACCACCATCTGGCTTAATCACTCCACTGAAATTACTCTCATGGATGTCACCAACAGCCTCCTTCCCTGTTATTATATCCAGTGGGGAAGTTGTGGTCCTCATTTCTCATCTCTGTGACACAGGACTCCACTGACTACTTCCTTGTTACCATTTCTTTCCTTGATATTTAAGCCACTATCATCTCTTGGCTCTTTGACATTTCTAGTTATTTCTTCTCATTTTCCTTTTATAGGCAGCCTTCTTCTACCTATCTTTAAGGTGTGGGTTTTTCACTTTGATCCCAGGACCAGTTCTCTCTCATCTCTAAATAATCGTCTGGCCAAGCTAATGAATGCCATTTATTACTGTGATTAGAGGTGCCTGGTAAGCCCAGGGTTCTATATTGAATACCAGACCCACATTCCCAGAGCCTACATCTGGGCCCAACAGACTCTACAGATACCTCAAATTCAATACGTTGAAAACCCAGTTCATCTTCCATCCCACACCTGCTCCTCCTCTGTATCCCTTTTCCTTGTCAATCTTCTCAAATGAATACTTGCATAATCAACTCAGATCCTTTTCTCCCCTTAGGCTCTTGCACATTCCTTCTTCCAGGTTCACCCGTCTCTACCTGCTATAATTTAATACTAACCCAGTTTTCAGATTCTGAACTTAAATTTCAGTTTCTCTGGGAAACACTTCCCAAATCTAGGTTAGACAACTCTCTCATGAAGCATCATTATTGCAGTGATGTCACTTGATTATAGCTGCATGCTTACTTGGGTGTAAGACCCCCTAAACTCTGAGTTCTGGAAGAGCAATGATGACACCTGTCAAATCCAGCACCTAGCAGTACATCAAAGGTATTGTATCAACGCATGGACTAAATAATCAAATGAACAGAGAAATGTGAAAACTAGCAATAATCTGGTGAGGATGCTCCAATCTTAACTGTGTTATCTATACACATGGTATCACAATATGATATACCGTTATATTATTAAGCTAAGATATGCATTTTAATGTAAACTATGCTAGAATAATATATAAAATATATAAAATTAGAAAGCAAATGCATTTCTTGATCACATTTAAGCAAATTATCATCTAGACAGACCTGTCCCAACAAAAAATTTGAAATGTTTACATTAATATGGGTGAGTTCAGTTTCAAATGCATGTGTCCTAGCCACCTTGAGAATCTTTTTACATTATATTGAAATATACTCTCTTTTGTAATAATTATCTTGAACTCATTCCTGCTGTTAGAACACACACCTTGAACTTCTGCTTTCCTACCTTAGCTGCAATTAGTAGGACCAAACCGCACACCAAAAATAACAATTTGTGTGGTTATCACACAAACACATAACTAACATTTGTAGAGGTCTTAACCTTTCAATGGCAGAATGGCAAATACATTTGAAGTCTAGGTACAAGCAAAATAAACACAATATAGTGCAAAACATAATCTAATTGTGTGCTGTGTGCTATCAGAAGAAAGAAAAGGGTAAACTTGGACATTAAGACTTTACTGATGGGAAGGAAGCCTTTACTACAAGAACAGAAGTAAGTATGGTCAATCAACAGACCTTCCATATCGAAATCAGCTGCAACTTCCGCATCTTCACCAAGTAGGGTAGAACTTGTTGATGATGGCAGTGGAATACTAATTTTCTCTAAACTCATTTCTTCTTCCAAGTTTTTGATCCAGTCTGGACTTTTTAAAGTAATAGTTACAGTTCGACCCAATAACTAGTTGAATTAAAGATATAAAATAAAAATTCATTGACATGAAAATTATCTTAGAATAAAGTTATACTATGTGATAGTACAGGCTTAATTTAGCTCAACTCCATTCAAGTTAATTGTTTCACATATACTGAATTTTTAAATAGTTTAAACATTAAAAATTATCCAGTATCAATTAGGATGTTAGGTATCACGTATATCCCATTTGTGTTTATATGAGTGTGTATATATATAAAATCCCATTTGTTTTATGCACATATGAAGGTTAAGAGAAATTAATTTGTAATGGTAGAATTACAAATGGTCTTTATTATTTCTTTCTTTATACTTTTCTGTATTTCTTCATCTACTTTTGTTTCAGAGTATTGTTATTACATTCAGGGAAAACAAACAAAACCCTATAAAGCAATTTCATATGCATGGAAATTTTTTTCTCCAAGGAAGCTGAAGTACTGTGACAGAAGAGGAAGCTCAAGGAATCCCTTATGAGTTGCTCACTGTTGGAGAAATTAGGCCTGCATTTTAGTCTACCCTGTCTAGTAACCATATACTTAGAAACTGAGGATCTGTGTAAAAGCATTCAGAAAAAACTGATAGACATAGCACTTTATAGGAGTAAAACTATTCCAGACTACTGATGTAAATTTCCCCCATCAGTAACACTGCAAATCACAGGCTAGGAGTGAGTATCTCTATTACTTAGATGTTTCTACAATGCCTCAATGGGATGGATTTGTTATATGGGAAATATTTCACCTACACTTAACAAAGATACCTGGGTACCATCATCCAAGCCAATAAAACAAGTCCCTCAGAATAATGAGCATCTTCCTTCTTTGTTTTTAATGTAAATAAAGCTTTTTCTTCATTTGCTATAACTCTTTTCCATAAAGATGAGCCCAAATATCTATCCCAATTTAAAATTTTAAAGTTTCCATATAATAAAATACAATAAAAATAAAATTAGGTGATAATCATATTTTCTTCTTAGTCTATATCAATGGTTAATATCTCCAGGAAGGACCAAAATAACTCTAAGTTGGTCAGTAAGCTATCTAAATAATAAACATTAAAGCATACAATAAGGTATTTTTACCTCCTGAACTAGAAATACACTTAGACTCTCTTGATTGTATCTACAAAAATATAATCTTCAAACACCTAATTTCAGAATGGTTTAAAACCACCAAGTGCTACCTTACCTCTTTACCATTTAGGCCTAGAACACTCAAGGCAGAGCTTCCTTCCAAAAATGTGACCCACATTTTATCTTCTACAAATCTTCAAGAAAGAGAAAAACAAACATAAAAATATAATTAACACCTTAGATATAAGAAGCCAATACTAGTCTAATGACGATTGATTAACAAGGGGCCTACAGGTGTCAGGAAGTAAAACCAGAGGGAGAGCAGTAGGGCTAGTAGTGACCTAGAGAGGGCATTCCTCCCCTCAAAGCACTCAAATTCAAAATCTTCCCAAATACTGTGCTAATAAAACAATCTGCCAGAAAAAAATAGGACTATGACCTCCATTTGTGATCTCGAATGCAACCCTTCATTTCACTGACAAGATAAGAAAGGACCAGAGTGGCTTGCTTATTCAAAGTGATACTAGGAGGAGAGTAAGTTTTATTAAAGGGCTAGAATCCAACTCTCCTGACCCATTGTCCAGCACTCTGTATTTTACATACTTTTACTGTCTCAATAACTTCCCCCGAAGCAAATTCTTTTGACCAAGAAATATAGGCAGTTGTCATTTAATCAATCAATCAATCAATCAATCAATTAATCAATTAATCAAATAAACTGGCCCCAAGGAGGCTTAGTTTATGGTCTTTGTCTTTATTCATTGACAGCCATTTACTTTCTTGGGACTGCAATGGCCTTTGCTACCCTCAAAAGGAAAAGATAAAAAGGACACTGGAACAAGTTCCAAAGATGATTACTAATATATAATATTATCATGCAAACAATAAAACAGATTATAATGTTATCAGTCTTTTTCACAGGAATAATTCTGAATTACTCTCAACTGTATAAATCAAGTCCAGCAATACTTGCAGATTTTTCAAAGATGAGAGAAGGGAAAATGTACACACACACACACACACACACACAAACACACTTAACCTAGGATTCAAAAGTACGGATTACAGATATTAAGAGGTAAAGGCCAAAAACAAAAGTATGTACAAGTACTTTATCCTGTTTAAGTCAAGGCCTGGAGCAGATTTCTACAATAAACATGAGCAAGGTGTGATTCAATTTCTTTGACATAAAGTTACTGAGTTGTAGGATGCTATCACTTGAAAGACACAGGCCCATCATTCCTACCTAAATACTATGAGGGGTATCATTTCCAAACTTGGCAATGGAGACTATTTCTCCTCCAAAGAATCACTACTATAACGTTGCACTTGTGCTACTTCTGTACACCCCAACCCCAAACTTTACAGTAGCCCCCACCTTATTCAAGGGGTATGTTCCAAGACCCCCAGTGGATGCCTGAAACCGCAGGTAACACCAAGCCCTATATATACTATGTTTTTCTGTACATATGCACCTAAGATGAAATATAATTTGAAAATTAGGTACAGTGATTAACAATAACTAATAATCAAATAGAACAATTTCAACACTATACTCTAATAAAAGTTGTGTGAATGTGGTCTTTCACTCTCTCAAAATATGTTATTATATTGTAATCACCGTTCTTCTTGTCATGATGTGAGATGATAAAATGCCTCTGTGATGATAAAGTGAGGTAAATGATGCAGCATTAGACTACCATTGACCTTCTGACCATATGTGTCAGGAGGAGGATCATCTGCTTCTGGACCACACTGGCATGGGTAACTGAAACCCAGAAAGTGAAACCGTGGATAAGGGAAGGTTACTGTATTTGTTCTTTGATAGTGGTACCAAAGCAGTTGTAGTCATACAGCAGGGCTGATTTCCTGATCCTATCTTTAATTGGCAATGTGCCCATTATACACTCTTTAGAAGAGATTCTGGTTCTAACATCCATGGATTTATACAGGTCCTTTTAGAAGCTGTATTTTCTTCTTGTTTTCACTCACTAGGGTAGTAGCTTCTAGACTTTTTTTATAGACCTCCCAATTAATAAAAGTGTCTAAATATGCCCCACCTACATTTCCAGGGCATCTCTTATTTACATATAAAGGGGTTTACAGACTTCAGTTACTCCTTTAGGCTGTCTTATTCTAGAGCAAAAAGTAATCATCAGTTTAGCCTTACTGGTGTCAGTAGTCTCTCCTTGTTCACCTTCATCATGTTTTTTCTAGTCTAACTTGGTTGTCTGAAGGTGTAACGACAATTGTATGCCAGGTGTGGAGGCACCTGTGGTTTCACAATGTTAGGGTAATGTATTGTTTTTTTACCAATACTTTGTCTAATGATGACAGACACTGTGGGGAAAGCTTTTGGCTCCAATCTTTTGGCTCCAATTTAACACCAAGTTCTTGCAAGACTGGGTTATAAAGACAGGTCCTTTTCCTGTATCCACATTGTCTTTTCTCTGTGTACACATTGGATTCTCTCCAGCCCAGGATGCTATTTTACATTTGGTCAGAAAAACGCTTATCTGCTTTGCTGCCCACTCACACAGTCCATGTTTTGCTCTTGGGGGGTCTGACATTTCTGCACTTGGCATGGCTTACTATCCTGTGTAAACTTGGGAAATTTTACTATCTACTCTCTTCCTAGAGCCTTAGGATTTTCAAAATTTTTTGTTTTATTTTAAAGTTTTGGGGTAGATCTTTGTCAAAAAATTTGAGACAAGTATAAATACAATTTCTTCTGTATTTGCTCATGTACTTTGTGAAAGGAGTCTAGCTTTCTTATGCATTGTTATCATTCTACAGAAACCACACTTTTCATTCTGTGGACTATTCTGTTTAGAACCTCAGGAAGCCATTACACACATGCTAATCTTCCCAACTAGATTACAAGCAAGAATTGATTCTTCAATTTTTCCTCTGCTCTTCCTTAGAGATTTATCTATCAAATATCTATATAACACATAACCCAGCAGATGAAAAAAATTAAATAGTATCTCTTCCCTATGAAATTCAAATACCCACATAATTCAACTTCTCAAAATTGCTGTACACTTGGAAGAGAACACTTTTTTTTAACTGAGAAAGAGGCATCTGGTTCTGCAAAAGGCAGATGGTTAAGTCAGTGACAGAAACCAAGACTGGAATGGATGATTCCTGACTGTTAAACTGGTGGTGCTACTTCTTATTAGGTGTAAATTAAGCATACTTAAAATAACTTAAAACATCAAATTTTTTAAACTGAAGGGGAAAAGTCATTATATTTTACTCCTATCTCTCCTTAAAAGAATAGCAATCACAGCTTCATCTTGCTATAAGGCTCTGTTATATATTATTATCATATAGGAATCTTAAAAGATCACATCTATACATATGCATACTTTATTATCAATTATTCATAGGAAGTTTTACTACTCAACTTTAAACTTTCTAAATAGAGAGTTCAGTTTCAAAATCCATGAGCTTTTTGAGTAACGTTTCTATAGTATGATTTTCTTACAGTTTGGAAATAAAAATATTCATATACTATTCAAACACTACAAAAAGCAATTTCTAACATAGAAAATACTTCTTAGGAATCATGAGCTGCTATTGGACAATAAATGTTTTACTCACCTTATGAGTATAACTTCACCAAAATTTGTAAATTGCTGCAGAAGCTCATCAATCAAAGCATCATCAAAAAAATTATTTTCTGGTACAGAACTTTTGATTGAGACCAACACTGTCCCATCTGGTGGACCCTGAACTGCAATTACTTCTTTATAAATGTTTTGCCTCTCTTCAGCTTCAACTTCAAATATATCTATATCAATCAGGGCAACAACAGGCCTTAAGACATAAAGGAAGAGACATGTTAGAATGTTTAAAACATGGCATGTTTCAAATAAATTTCAAGCACCATTAGAAATACTGAGACTGTTGAAACCTATGGTCAGAAGTCTTCAGCTCAGCTCTACCATAATGCAGCAAAGTGCCAGGAGTCCACATGTAGAGGATTTTGCTTCCAGCTTGAAAGCTAGCATTTAGAAGATCTAAATCTTCAGCTGCACTCAGAAAAAAACAGAACACAAAAGAAGCCACGTGAGTGTGACAGATTATGGGGAGCAAGGAACTATCTTCACTTTATTACCTTCCATAACAGTCTAAGGCTGGGATGCCAGATACACTTGTTAACAGGCAGAAAGTCTAGACACCTCTAAGCTGGAAAGATTTGGGGTGGAGTTATTTTATGCTTTACTTCTGAGATTATTTAAAGGCCTGTGAGCAAAGAGTATTTTATAAATAATCCAACAAACAAGCAGTAGTTCATACTATCTACAAACCACTTTATTCAAGTTAAAAACCTTAATCAGCATTCAACTGAAAATTTTATAAAATGTTTTCTTGCTTCTCTTTATATGAAATTATGTCACTTAAAAACTGAAGAATTAATGTAAGAATGTTTTTAAAAATCTGTTTTATATTTTATATTTAAATATTATTTATTCTAGTCTAGATAACCTTTGCTGAAAACAATAGCTCTCCTCCCTTGATATTTATATCATTCCCTTCTTCCTCATAAATTTTGCACTAGCTCATTTCAATGAAGTCCATTTCCCAACCTGATCTATCAAAAGGCCATTTCCTTCTTCTCCAGAGGACACGATCTGTCCATGCAGGGGTGCGGCACTTCTCACTGGTGTCATAGTCATCAGAAAACAAATCATACTTATATGTTGGAGCAAAGGTTACTTTTCCTTCTAAAAATCCTCTAAAAATCTAAAATAAAAATATATACAAAGTTATTTAAAAAGGCAAGAAAATTATTTTTCATTCAGCAGCCATGCATTAATGATCTATTATGTGGAGACTTTCACACAAAATATGCATGCATCTCATAATTAGGAATGATTCCTAATTAAGTGGAACAAAGCTTAAGAAAAAATAACCAAAGACTTTTTCATGTATACATTCAATCTTTGATAAAACAAATGACAAAAATGTGAATAAGGGAATTCCATCAGACCTTTAAGCTATAAGGGACAGAATAGTAAAGGATTTTAGAAATCATATAGTCTGATGTCTTATTCTCAAATGCAGAACTGAGTCCTAAGTTAAGTGGGGCCCTAAGTGTTAGAACGTAAGTCTGACAACCATATCAATTGGACTCAATCATGTATTACAGTAAAAAAAAATTAGAAAGTTCCTCCAAAATTTTATGGTCAAAAGTTTTAAAAAGGCAGATGATATGAAAAACAAAAGAAAAAATAAAGCAAAGTAGGACAGGATCTCAAAGCCAAAAACAGTAACCCTAAAGACTAAAATTCTAAATTCACTACTACTGAAAAAATAGCAATGACAAAAATCCCCTCTTTCTACTTGAAAGTGAATCTTACAGAGACACAATATATTTTCCCTACTGGTAATTAACATAGATTTTCCTTTCCTTTTTTTTTAAAGGAAAGGTAATTCTGTATCTGTTATACAATAGCTATATATTTATTAAGTATAGAGAGACTCTAAGAAATTTTTTTTTAAAAGGCAACACTATGATTAAATGTGTTTCATAGCCAAAGGTTCCCGTCTTCTCAAGTATGTATATACCTGTCCAGCATTTTTCTGATTGATAAGTTGATCTCCTGCTATGAGAGAATCCCAATTTTGCTGTCTTATGAGTTCTTTAACTTCTTCATTAGGAAGATCGATTCGATAGTTGAAATCACCACACCAAAATACATAGTCATGGGAAAAGAGCATCCTTCCCTGGAAGCAAGGAGATGGAATTTTAAATTCAAAACAATTTAAAACATGTTTTACAACTATTCCTTTGTTTCAGATATGCTTGCCTCCCCCAAGCCAGCCAGGCCCTATTTATTTAGCACAATACTAGTAACACAACACATGAAATATCTATTTAGGTGAACATCGTTGATGTTTCTAGGAACTATCTGAAAGTCGCAAAAACTATATAGAATTTGGGGTAAATAGAAGTAGGTTTCAAAGCTTCATCTTCAAGAATAAGCAGCAAGAACTTACCATTGGAAAACTCAATTTTCGTGCTATTTCTATAAAATCTTCATTCCTTTCTTTGACTTGAGATTGCCCTGCAGCAAAGTGGCTACAGACAAAGCAAAGGCTTGTTGTATGGAACAGCATTCGTATTGCAACTGCTCCCTTATTTCCAGTTGCACCTCCCATTCCAGTCTTCACAGTATCAACTGCAACATCCCTTTAAAACAGAGAACTCTAAATCAAAGGCCTGAAATTTCAAGCTTCATGTGCACAAGAAATTAGGAATGTGTACTACATAAATACATGACACATTGTGTCACTTCAAGGGTGAGGTTGTGAAACAGTGTTGTGAAACTTAGTGACCCTCTAAACAAAAACAAATTTTAATACAAGACCCATGAGTGAGTGTTTCTGAAGCAGCAAACATCCTAGACCTTTTTCTTGTTAAGTGAAGGTAGAAAGCCTTATAATAGCACTCTTTACTGACCTGACGAAAGGAGCATGCTGTGGCCTGATAAAAACAAACAGGCAGACGCCCACTAACTGCTCAGAGGCCAGCAGCACATACTTGTTGTCTCTGGAGATGGTCTTCTGAAGTTCTACAGCCCAGAGTTTCTGATTTGTTGTGCTACCAGAAAATATTAAAAAGGGAATATTTTAAAAGATATGGACAATACACCCCAGTATATAAGACAACTGTCAATTAAACTTTAATGTCCCCAAAATTTAGTAAGATTAAGAAAAATAATGAAATCCACACCAACAGTGAAATCTCTCTGCAGAGTGTTGTTTCCTTTAAAAAGGAAAACCTAAAATTTAGTCAAAAGAACACCACGCATTCAACAATCTATTACTCCTTTACAAAGAAAATGTGAACTTCCTTTTTTAACGACTGCTCACCATGTAAGTGATCTCAAGCTTGTACATTTTACTTTTTCCTTAAGTATTCATCAGGATAACAGACAAGTATATGGTTCCAGATATATTTCCCTCCTTTTCTGTATTTTTCCGGGTTATAATTGATATCTTTTAAAAACCTATTTTGGAAAATTTTAAACTTACTCAAAAAAGTGGTAACTGTAAAACCATCATCTACTCATTAACGAGCTTCAATGCTTATTGAACATTTTGTTCATCTTTTTCTTCCATCCTCCTCACTTCTTTTGTGAACCTAGAATACTTTAACCCAAATCTAAGACACATGCCATTTCACCCATACATACTTTTTATGCATCTCTTCTGCACCAGGACATTTTTATTTTTACATAATCATGAAGCCATTATCACATTTAAATATTAACAATTCCTTAGTATCATCTAATTCTCAGTTCACATTTAAATTTCTCTATTACCCAAAAAACATCTTTATACAGTTGATTTCTTTAAAGCTTTAAACCAACTTTAATAAGGCCCACATACTGCATTTGCTTGTTAGGTATCTTGAACTTCTCTTACTCATTAACGGTCTCTTAGCCCTCCCAACTCCGCTCCCTTTTTAATTCCATTTATGATTTCAGAAGCTGGGCCATTTGTCAGGAAAATGTTTAACAGTCTGGATTCACCTGATGTGGCTTCATGGTATCTTAACTTGCCACTCTAACTTTCACATTTGTGTTTAACTGCTTAATGTAGAAGCTTGTTTAAGAAACACATTTAATTTTATTTATTTGCTTTGGCAAAAAATAACCTCATGGTTAGTGTGTTCATGCTTACATCACAGCCAAGTATCAGCTGTTCAAATCATGACCATCTAATCAACTCTTTTAATAATAAAAAGTTCCTCCACTAATCCTCCTTCTAAGATTCTAGCATCTGTTGATGATCAGTGCCATTATCTCATTAGGGGTTTCAAATGCTGACTTATTTTTAGCACTCCATAGGCATTTGTAGTAAGTTGGAATTCTTCTATAAAAATTTGTATTAACTATTTAATTACTCTGAAACACAGTTCATACAAAGAAGGTAGGATAAATGCTTGAGTCTTTCTCTTTATTTTCAGAGTAGTAAGTTTGTGCCCAAGAACTTCAATGGAGAGCAAAAAATTTTTCTTGCAGTTCCAGCTCACAGAAATGATTAAGTGGTAAACCACAATGACCTTCACAGCCACCTAGCTAATCTAACAATATGCTATACCACCTTCAAAATATAAATTGAGAACGTGGATTCTGTATCTGCCATCATCCTACCACTGTGACTTGGATTCTGAAATGAGGACGGCTTTCTTTCTTCAGCTTGCTTCTTAAGTCGTCTTCTCAATGAACTGTCCCAACCATTCCATTCAAAGCCACACATACTTCCCTCCCCACCTCCACATGCCTAATCACCTTTACCTCTATTTTCTACTGTATTTCTAACATGATATATAATATACTTATTATAGTTACTGTTTATTGTCTATCTCTTCTACAAGAGTAGAAGGTCTACACAGGTAGGAATTTTTGTCTGCTTTGTTAATGTAGCTTTAGCACCTAGAGTAGGTGCTCAATTGATGCTGGTTAAAATGAAGGAATAATCCTCACTTAATTAAATAATTTGATTAAGCTCTACTTAGACAAACAACTGAAACATTTGGTATTAGGAACCTTAAGAGCATGTTCTATTTTAAGAACCGAATATGTACTTTCAGGAGAGAGATTTAAACAGCAAAATGAATGAAGGTGGATTTATTTTCTACTTCTCTGTACAAACTGTTGATTCACTTTGGCTAAGAAAAAGCCCTGTCATTTGCAAGCTTGATGACTATGCCATACTTGAATAATTTTAGTCTGAAAAAATCTTTAAAAATCTCATAAAAGATGGAAAACACTCAACTTTAAAAGCAAGTATATGTTCTTAAAACACCTCAGCTTTAAATTTCACTGAAATAATTTGTATTTGTAGTAAGGATTCAGAACAGTAGTACTCAAAGTATGGTCTGAGAACATCTGTGGGGGGGTCCCCAAAACCCATGAGATCAGAATTACCTTCCTAACACTACTCAGACATTTGCTGTTTTCATCACTGTTGCCTGACATTTGCTTGATGGTACAAACGCAGAAGTAAGTAGAAGTGCTGATGCTTTGGACTGAACCCAGCACCAAACTCTACTATATTCATTATAGTCTTCATTGCCGTGCACTTGAGGCTAAAATAATGCATTTCACCTAAGACTATTCTTGCTGAAGCAGTAACATTAATGTCATCAGAGCTTAAGCCTCGAGTCCCATCTTTTTCACATTCTATGGGATGACCAGGAAATGTACAATGCATGTGTGCCACAAAGTGAAGTGATGGTTGTTTCGAGGAAAAGCACTTGACAGTCTGAGACGAGAGTTGAGCTGCCCTGTTTTTCATGGATACAGTTTTTACTTAAAAGAACTTATGACAAACTATGATTATTTAGACTTAGGTTATCTGGCAAAGAGTTTTCAACCAAGCCTGTCTTCTTAAGGGAAACAACCAAGAGTATTTACTTGCAATGATAAAATTTGAGTTTTCAAGTAAAAATGGGAATTTTGGAAAACTATTGTGATCTGGACAGCTTCCAGATACTTGAAGAATTTGCTGATGAGATCAGTGATTATTGTAAGCAATATGATGTGTTGATATCTTATAATGCAATGTGTCAAAATTGGGAATATCTATATAACTCAGTGAACTAATATTTTCCAAATGACCAATACATGATATTTCAAAATCATGCAAGGGTACAAGATAGAACAATGAACTTTAGTATAACAGAGCACAAGAAATTCACTGCTATGGTTTCAGATACCATATTACAACTAAACTCTAAGAAACTGCTATTTGTTGAGTTTTGGTGTAGTACCAGAAGAAACTATCTGAAAAGGCTATTAAAATATTTCCATTTCCAACCACATATTTATGTGACTTTCTTCATACACTTCAACCAAAACAACATATTGCAACAGACTAACATCAGGAGTAGATGTGAGAGTTCAGCTGTCTTAAGTCAGATATTAAAGAAATTTGCAAGAGTAAAAAATAATGCATCCTTCTCAGTACATTCTTGTTTTGGAAAACAGTTACTTTTCAGAAAAAAAAATGTGTTACTTCTGTTAACATGTAATGGGTTATTATTGCTATTTTCAAATAATTAAATGTTTTAAATTTAAAATTTTTAATTTCTAATGTGATGTCAAGAGATGTAACCCACAAAAATAAAAGTTAAGATTTTCAATATTTTTAAGAGTATAGAAAGATCCTTAAGTAAAAAAAAGTTTGAGAACTGCTATTTTACAGTTTAAGAAGCATCTTTACATATATTATCTCAATCTATCCTTGTAAGAACTACTTAATTATCTGTCTTGCATGTCCCTCAACTAGAACATTTTCCTGTGTGTTACCTTGCTGGCTTACCTTGCATTCACAATGTTTCCAGCATTTAACTCTACCATTTCTTCAAAACCAATTGCAAATACGTCAGTGGGCTTACTTCTTTTATCTACAATTAAGCATCCAAGAAACATTTTTAAAATAAGCCTTAATCAAATGGCACCCCCATCCCTAACACAACTAAGATCAACACCAAATGTCATAAAAGTCCATTTTTGTGTTTTATGTTTAATCACATTAAGACTAAAGGCAATACCCATGAGTGGGACATAATTACTTTAAATTTACTTTCTATTCAGGCATCCTAATCTGCCTGTCTATGACTGTTTTCCTTAAAAATCTTTAAATCCTTTCAGAAATCATTTTGAAAAAACTCTTTTGTACCATGTTTGTACCATGGACAACAGAGAAATAAGCCACTTCTCAAGAGCTGAAGTGAATCAAATTTTAGAGGTAAAGGAATTCTTCAGAAAAAGCATAAATAATAAAGTGGTTGCAAAACCATCTCAAAGGTAACATTTGGGAGGGATTTTTCACATTCAAATTAGAAAACACAAGGCTTGATCTTTTTGCTATATCCTAGGTAGAGGAACTCCTGGAAAATTAAGACATCCAAGGGTGAAGACATATTCCTCTGTTCCAGCCATTAACTCTCTTTCATAGCTGTTAAGGACTAAAAGAGAACAGAAGTTGCTCGAGATAAGCAGCCCAAGAGTACTTGGGGTACCTCATTGAGAAGTGAAGATAAATAGCTAGAAAGAGTCTGTAAGTACTATTAACTGATACTGAGAGAAAAAAAAAATTAACTGCTGGTATGTGCAAGGCCTATATATGTATCATCTCATTTACCATACAAACACCGTATGAGACACATTATTTTTGCCTTTTATTCACAGATAGGAAACCGAGACTTTTGAGAACCTAAGCAACTTCCCCAGGTTCACACATAAAATGCCATGTGGTACAATGACTCTGGAACCACTGCCAGAGGTCAAATCCTGGCTTTGCCACTACCTAATGCACAACGCTAGGCAGGTCACTTCCTTGTGTCTAAGTTTCCTTATCTGTGAAATTGGAATGATAACAGTATTTATGCCACTAGTCTGTTACACATATTAAGTGAATAGATGTAAAGTACTTAGATTTGTAGTATTCATTGTTATTTTATTATTATTACAACTACAATTCCAACTTAGGTTCGACGTAAGAGAAAAGGGGCATTTTAATAAAAGTTTTGGGAAAACCCCAGGGTTTTAGATGACTGATTAAAGACAACTAAAAAAAAAAAATCTGTATGTCACATTATTTCCTATACACATTACCTTTCATATATTATACTTGGTAAATGTGTAACACTGTAAAAAGGAATTAAAGTTGACTTTAAAAAAGAAGGCCTTAAGTTCATGATTCTAATCAAAATTTTAATTAAAGCATACCCATCTTAATGTTTGGTCTGGCTACTAAATTGTCTGTACCAAGTTTCTACAAGAATGTATTAGTACTGTTAAGTCATAAAATGCCAACAAATATCACAAGATTTTTAAGACTTTCCATCATCTACCCTGAATATTTCTTAGTAACCAAGCAGAAGACTAGATTTGAAAAATGGGACATTCTAGGTTTGAAAAATTATCAGTTATAAAATAAGCTTGCTTTGTGTCAGTTTGAAAAAATAAAAACAACTAATTTTTCTTATGTGTTTTTATCTTTAAAGGTATCTATGTATGGATCCTATTTCCTGTGAATCAAATATCCAAGAATAAGATTTATTTTATCATTATGTTTTCTTTAAAGCAGAAAATAAAGATCTAAGAATAAAAAGAAGTAAGATTTCAGGACACCTGATTACAAAAATGTTGGCCTTCAAATTTACAGATCCAATTTTCTTTTATAAAGTAATGCATATCGTAGAACTGCTACACTTGTTTTCTAGATTAATAAACCAGTGTCAGGACTTATTAATTAAATACATATTTTATAAAAAGCCAACCTTGAAATTCTTGGATGCCAGCTAACTTGGGTGCATCAAGAAGCCAGTCAGTGAGTGTCTGATTCTTAAATGCTATACTGCGAAACTGCTTTCCACCATTCACATTCCATGTTCCAACACACACTCGAATCTTCTTGGGCTTTGAATACTTGTAGAAATTTTCACACATGCTCTTTAATACTTTAGAAGATGCTAATCAAAAACAACAGAAGGTTAGCTGCATTAAATGACTTATAAAAATTGATTTTCATAACTGATAAATGATGCCTGGAAAGTACAATTACATCATAAGTACAAACAAGCATAAGATACATGCACAGGCACAAAAAGAGACCAGCCTTGAACATAAAGCCTAGCACAAAGCAGTTAACCAAACAATTTAAAAGAAATTTGACTAAATCCAATAGCCAAAATAAAAACGCTATTACAAAGTTATTGAAGCAGTATAAAACATGCAGCACAAATCATTGTCTTGATGAAGTGGTACATGATTACATAACATACAGAATTAGATAATGTACATTTTTAGGACTGTAACAATTGCCTTTCATACAACTTTATTTTGATGCTGGTAAAAATATAAATTTATTTCTCCCCAAAGAAAAACATTTAAAAACACTTATTTGGGCTATGCTGAACCCATTTAGTTTAAGATTTGGGTAACTGACAGGTGGTTTGATGAACAATGGCTTCCTGGCAAAAATACAATTATGGACAATAATAACATGTCAGAAAATGAAGTCACTACTAAATTCTTCTCATTTGACTCAGAGTAGAAGCCAAAGTCTTTAACAATGGTCTACAAGGTCTTAAGCAATTTACCTTGCCTTTCTGACCTCATATACAACCCCTTCCCTGTTCAGGCACTGCTCAGAGACCTGACTCCATGCTCTTTCAAAAAGATGCCAGACCGGCTCCCACCACTGGGCATTCCCACTGTCTGCAACACTCTTCCCTCACCTCCTTCAGGTCTTTACTCTCCAGTGAAAAATCTCCTGACCACTTTATTAAAATCTGCATTCTGTCTCTAACCCTCCATATTCCCTCTTTGCTGTATTTTTCTCTATAGCACTTATCACCCTTTACAGACTATGTGTTTTAGTTATTTATCCTGTAACTATCTGTCTCCCCTCACAAGAATGAAAGCTACATGAGGGCAGCAGTGTTGGTCTGTTTTGTTTCCTGCAATATCCCTTGTGACTTAGCAGAGTGCTTGGTGCATACTAAGTGGTCACTATGTAATTGTTGAATGAATGAATGTTCAATACATTCTGAATCCTCAATTTTTCTCCTGTATATTTTTTGACCATCACCTATCTTCTTTCTTCTAAATCACACTTTATTTTGGTTGAGTTAAATTCTTAGAGTGGCTAGAACCTTAACAGAACCTCAGTCTAAAAACAACATACATACTTAATTGGCAGTTAGCTGGTAAGAGGAGATCAAAATGATTCTTACCTTTTACCACATGATCTTATTTTATTATTATTTTTTTATGATACCAAGATACAGCAGTTTGTGACAGAATATGAGTGAAAAAGACAAATAACATCTTAGTATTATAATGAAAATGACGTATGAATTCCCTGAGAGAGGTGCTGCTATAGATGATAAGCATATTCCCACTGTTCCCAGGGGTAAACATGCAGATTTCTAGCCGTCTTGATTTGATTTGATTTAGCAGTATAAGGTATTGGGTAGTAAGGAAAACGTATTATTTGTTCTGACCTGCTGGTATGGCTAACTGAAATCTGGCTGTACCTAGATAAAATTACTCTCTATTATAATGGTTTATCACTGGTCTTTATAATTGAAGTCACTGCCATTATTACTACTATGAAAACTACTTCTGTAATCCATTCTTATCAAAACACAGGTTCTATAATGATTAAAATATTCAGTAAGACAATAATAATAAGTTGTGTGAACAAAAACGTGTGAACTAATAAAGTCAAGTCAGTTTACAAATGGAATGAAAAGTTAAAAAAAAAAATCCTAGTTTATTCTTAACTGGTTAGCACCTTTATGTGTCAGAAAGAATGAGACTATGTTCAAACAGATGTCCGTCCCTAAATATCATCATGTCGGAAAATGAATTTCATTATATAACACAAAACATAACTCAAAAATATATCCAAGTGCTCTCTTCCTCTATTCTTCTCAAAAAAAGAAAAAAAAACAAAAGCCAGTAGTTTCTCAAAGCACTCAGAATAACTAAGCTAAACAAATCTTAAGAGAAGGGAAGAAAAGATGTCTTTCTCCTCTAAATTTCTGGCAAGAGTTTAGCTTATGTTCCTTTTGCCATAGATGTTTAAAAACAAGCTTGTCTTCTTGTCCAGAAAATGAAGGCCTGGGATTGCCTTGAATAGGAAAGGCAAGAAAAATAATGATCTTTGGGTCTTACACACTTAACTCTCCTAACTTTTTTAGAAATCTTGATGCTTGTTAAAAGATTTCAGATTATATTTTATTGCATGTCTTAGATTTACACAAAACATTTCATCCACAATACAGGCAAATGAGTCAATGCCTTTTGAAATATGTGTGTGAAACACTGTGGAGTAATCACAAATATCACAGATAGTACTCTAAAATTAATCCAAAACAGTCGCATCTGGGTTTTTTCCATTAATCCATTAAAAATAAGGTAAAACACTAACACTGTTTGTTCAATGAAAAAGAGAAGTGAAATTAAAACTAGATGACTTGTATTTCATTGGAACTAAGCATTTGCTACAGGAAGACAGAGCATTGTGTATTTCCTTTTAAATGAAGTACCCAGTTTTCTCAAACGTAAAATTTTTCTCTCAGACTAAAGCAAGGTATCAGTTTATCCTGTTAGGGTCTGAGGGCAAGATAAGAGAAAGTTTCCATTTATATGGCTTTATTTATTTACAGTATCAGCTTGAGAAAAATAAAGAAAAGACTGCTTTTATTTATAGACTAATTTTCTATACTGTACCTGACTGTAATGTCTGTTCAGAAACTATGGATGCATCAAGAAGAAAACAAAGAACCATTAGTAAAACAGTAAGTTATAGTTAACATCTCAAGTGTTATGACAAAACATTCTAAGATGCCTCACTTTTTTCTTTTAAGTCAATTTGATGATCTCCTTTTTTCTGATGACTATAAGTGACATAAACTGATACAAACCCTCTGCATCTAAGAAAAATCCTATAGTGACTTAGTGATGTCCAGAGTTTCACAGAGGGTCCTAGGCCTGCTTTTCAGGCTGCTCCTGTGTATGTGTGTGCATGTGCACATACATGTGGGAGAAAATATGAATCTGAAAACCTAAGAGGCTGAAGGATACTGAACATATGGGAAGATATTGCTCTAATATACATCTTTTAGTATTCTTTCCAGGACTCACCAGTTGATAAGTACAAGTAGTTGAGTTATAACAAAACATATTCCCAAAAAATCACCATGCTATGTAAAAGTGTACAAATTCCCACAAAAACAGAGCTTATGGGAAAAATAGCATTAGAGCACACTATTTAAACGAGTTGAAGAATGACATGGCAAAAAAGATAGGAACCTAATTAAAAACAGTGGCACAATTTTACATATGCTAATACTCCTTAATATGGCACTTCATCTTGAAAAAGACGTGAAGTTTGTAGTAGTACACATCAAGAGGGTTGCAGCTTGTGAGTAATTGTGAATGACAAAGGAGTCTCTGAAATTGGATGTAAAGTTGTAACACCAGATGCGTTATTATGTGGCTCATAACAAACCTCGTGAACTAAGGCAGACAGATGTTTGAGGTACATGCAGATGTGTATGTGTGCTTTATGTATTTCCACCATTTCAGTTCCTCTGGGTGCAGTTTCCTGCATCTACCTACTGTTATCATTGGTGAAATCATACATTAACTAATGCAGAATTGGCATTATGCTCCAAATGTTCCCTAATATAGCATTCATTTTGGGAACAAATTCCCATTCACAAAACAAGAGTCATAGCAGAATTGTAGTACTTTTTTAAAGGTGTATTTTACACATAGTAAAATGTGCAGGAAACCAAAAAGCTGATGAGCAAGTTTGGGAATTCTTAGGTTCCTCGCCTCTCCTTTTCTTTCCTTCAATTGCTTCTTTCAGTTGTTGCTTACTAATGCCATATCCAAGTCGGAACAGGTGGAAAGAGGTGATAAAATGCGAACTCGTTAAGTCTGTACTGCTGGAGGCCAGGAAGAAAGCCTGAAGCAGTAGGTAAGAGGAGGTTTTGTTTTTAAGGGATACAGTAGGTTTCAGTTCCCCAGCCTACTTACAGATCCCCATGGAGCTGACTGTAATTAACTACTTTCAGCATCATGTAGAATTCTGAAAGAATCCTTGATAACCTATTTGACCATGTAGTTATCCAAACTGATGAGAAACAATTTCTCCTATGTGCTTAAGGAAAACTGAAAGGTTTGGTTTGGGGATAACAGAAGAAATAAAAATGTTCAGATTCAGAATGCTGAAAAGTTAAAATAGAAAGAATATGGAATTAAGCAAGTCCAATTTATTAAGTTGTATAATGAATTTTGAGTTTTCCTACAGTATTACTTAATATATGCTCACTGACATGAGCTCAAATTCTTCTGATTTTAATAACAGACAGTGAAAGATAAAAGGCCATCCTGACAGCCATATATTTATGTCAAACATTAGAATGGAATAGTTAAGTGTCTGGTAATAAGCAATATTTTAAGTTATTAATATGATTTAATGCTGGTATTCAAACAATAGCAATTAAAAGGTAAGACCAAGTTACAGAAACTTTTGGAGTGAGGATTAGCAAAATAACCAATATAGGTATTGGTTTTCTCAATAAGTATTTGTTTTCTAGATAATTAATTTTTGAATACTCTACTGAAATACTAGCTAAATATTCTATAAAATCCTGCCTTACATAAAGTTAGAATTACTTAAAACCATTTACCTCCTCAATCATAATCTATAAAAGAAAACATGGGTGAGCCTCACCTTACGGCTTAATACCACTGAAGCTGTAAACATTTTAAGAGAGAAAACTTCCTCTGGAGAACACAATTTAAAAAAAAATTACATTCATAGAAATTCCTCCCAAAACTATTTTAATGAACTTAATCTTAAAAAAATTATGTAAATAAATTTACATTTACTTAAAACTTTGAGAGATATAAATAACAAAATAATCAAAATATAAAATAAGTACACATACCACGCAAACTCCCTGTAGTTAAAAGTGCTCGAGCTTTATCAGCTAAATCACTATTCAGAGTATTTCCCAGTAGTAAAATATCAATGGCCTCTTGCTTGGAGCTGTCAAAGAAGTTATTCTGAATTGTTCTAGTAACAGAACGAGCACCATCTTTTAACTTTCCAGCCTGTTGGGGGGAAAAAGAACATGGACTTTCATTCTACATAATGATTTTACTCAGCTGGCATTTTGATACTTTAAATCAGTATTATATGACTTTACTGTAGTAAAAAGAACCTAATCATTCTATTTTGAAAATCAAATCATCACATTTTAACATGCTGTCACTGTTTCCTCAAGATGTCACTGTTTCCCTCCCACCCCCTTTTTGGACAACATCTCTGCAGAGAAATGGAAAAAGTTCAGTGCCACAGCTGCACCCACTAATGATTTTGGAGCAGTAAATGTTTAGAAATGTGTACTATAAAGGAAATACACTGGTGTACTTATTTATAACAAATTACTCCTTAAGCTGTAACTTTAAGACTTGAGGATGGGATGGGTGAAGAGAAGTAGGAGAAATAAAGAACACACTGCATTTACATACTCTTAAAAAAATTCAAAGAAGTTCAGCAGTAGAAAAATACAACTGAAATTACTCCCAGATAACTTATATTAGTTAAAACTAAAACTGAACATAAGAATGAAAGTCTAGACTAAACAGAAATTTATAATTACAGTTCATAAATATTATATGTAAACTTCAGTTTGTCTACTTTAGGTCTTTTTATGGCCTATGTAAATATAAATAATAATAAACCTATGCCAATTCCTACAGCGAGAGATTAACTTTTAGTGAAGACATATTTTACTTAGGCATGCTAGCTACCATAAAGATTTCTTTTGCTCTTACTGATTTTAATGATTGTTTAAAAAAACTCTTGCCTTTTAGAAAAAAAACTTCAAATTGCAATATGTAATTTTCATTCCTTAAATACATAACAGAAATCTGAGGCTTAAAATGGTATTTCTTCCTGTATGATAACAAATGCAAATACGTTACGTGAAAAAACACTCACCATTCACATTATCAGGCAATTAATCAAAAGGAACCCAGAGAAAGGAAAAGAAAGCAGTTCAGATGTTAGAGTTTGGTTCAATTCAGGCTAGTATATTTAATATATAAAATTTCATATATAAAATACCACTGAAAACATATGTAACCTCAGCACATATATTGTCTTAGTCACCACAGAAAAAAAAGGCAGAAGAACATAAAAAAATATTTTAAGCAATAGTTGTAGAGAACCAGGTTTTAATGGTAAGAATTATGTTCTCTATTTTAAGGAATAAATGAAGTTTTAACAATTTCAGGTTTTCAAAAGCTGGGACCATTTAAGTAGTAAATATTTGCAAATGTCAATACAAGTACTTCTAGGAAATTGAACCAAAGGAACTTTGTAGTTAAGGCCAATAGCTCTGGAAAGGGGCAAGGTATTTTATAAAGCACAGCAGAGGAGGAAGATTTGGAAACTAAAAAAAGACTTAGAGATGATGAATGGTCTTTAAAGAATTTCAGTTGCTACACTGAAGGGGCTGAATGAGAACTATGAAAGTTGTATGCATTCTTGCTTCTATTCCTGAGGAAATTTGAGGAGTTGTAGAGATGTAAAATGTTAATACATTCAAATGAGGCCAGGAGCCTTAAAAAGTCAGTATTTAAGTATAGAAAATAATGAAAAATATCTCAAGTATGCCTCCAAAGTCTCTCAATAAAAGACAAATGCTAGAGCAGAAAGTAGTCTGTAGATAATACCAGCAATTACAAAGTAACAATGCGGCACATAATTATAATTCCATCTATATCGCACACTTCTTTTGCACATTTTGATAGCCTCCTGTTCAACTTAAGATAAGTAAAAGAATAAGAACTTAATCAATTTCTAGTAGCACTGGGGTTTACAGTAGGTGTTGCAGAAATTGTCCACCCGCATTTGTTACACATCTATTAAATGGTAAGCACTGTCAAGTACTAGGGACACAAAGCAAATAGACAGGGACTTTTATTAAGAAGGCTATAGTTTAAAAAAAATCGTATTTATTAAATAGACAATATAAAAAGTAAAACAGATGCAAAGGAAAGTCATGAAAAAAAATGTCAGCTATACATATAGAGGTCTCATGGATTATCAATGAACAACTAAACATGGCATATGTACATAACTCCTCAAACTTAGAGAAATAACTATCTCCCATTCAATCACTTTAGTATCCATTATAGGAGGAAGTATTAAAGAGGATATAAAAGCATAAACAGAATTCTGAAACAGATACCTAAATGAAAACCAAACTATGATTTAAAAAAGAGACCATTTAAAAGCTTTATTAAGACAGGAAAAAGAGGTTCTTTTGTAATCTCATGATAGATCCAGATCTACCTTAGCCTTTCCCTCAAGGGCTCCAGTTCCTGCATATATCTTACTGATTGAATCACCATTCACAGACCACATTGACCGAAAAACTTCTTGAAATCGAGTCACCAACTGAGGCTTTTCAGCTAAGCCAAGAGCTTCCAACTGTTTAGCTAGCATCTAAAATGGAAAAGGAGAAACTTTTTAAAGTATATTAAACTGTTAATTGTGATGTGACTTTTTAAGAACTGCCAGAATCATACCAAAAACTTACTGTTATAGGACTATGTGGTACTAGGTTCTGAAAACATAAATTTATTAAGCGAATGGTGCTATTTTCCACCATTTAAATTTTTTAAACTTTTTCAATGAAACTTACAAGTAACTTAATATTTTCTCATAGTAATAAGAAATTCTTTCTGGTCAAATGATAAAATTAATCTTATTAAAGTATCTTAATAAATTGGACTAGTTTACCTTGTTCACCTAAAAGAATTAATTATTCAACAGCATGCATTAAGGCAGAAAGAAATATTTACCTAGCTTATCTAAATATATATAGAAATAATAAGTTTTAATTTTTTTTACTTGGTTCTATACATTTGGGTAATTAAGGTCAAGAAATTATGAGAAAGAGTTGCTCTTGAATTGTTGCCAAAAAATAAAGAAAATTAAGTCTTATCTCTAAATAAAGTTATGATAGCTTTTTGTATACAAAATCTGTATTAGTAATGTTGTAAGGGAGAGCCAGAGGGAACACAGCATACAAGGAATGCAAGGATCTTGGGCCACTACTAATTCCTTCATCACAGACAATAAAAGCCTATACAAAGTTACTGGTCTTCATGCTGAATAAATTTTAGCCTTGAAATCTGTCAGAGTCAAAGCAAAGCATAATCCTTATCTACTCTACTTCTCTTATTTGGAATCCAGTTATATTCTATGCCTTGCATTTTTACTTAGTTACTTCCCATCTGTGTTTTCTTTTATCTTACTCTAAGTATGGTGATTACCCATATTTATAGAGGAATCAAAATGTAAAATAACATAGAAAAACAGTAAACTGGGTTCATCTGAGCCAGAGCTTGTCTTTGCCACCATGGAGAATAAAAAATAAGCCCCAGCATCTCTTTTATCATTCATATCTCCTGTTCTTCAAGGAATTGGGCAAAAGGTGGTCCTTCACTACTTGTTTAGTTTTGTCTACTTCGGCAGTAAATTATGTAAGCAGTCAACCCATTGGTATATAATTCTAGGGAGTATTCTTACACCTAGCTACCAACAGTTGAGAGTAAACTAAGTCAGATTCTGAAAACTTATGTTATACTTTCAATGAAGACTTCCAAGTATTTTAATATGCTTGCTGTCAGAACCTAAGTAAATCCATTCAGCCTCTTAAAAATAGAATTCAAAACAATCCCAAGCCATGTGATAAACTCAATCCAAATGGCAAATGACTGCTTTCACTTTTCTGTCTCCATCCTATTTTCTAAGTAAATTATAATGATAAACCTCAATGACAGATTTCAAAAAAGGGAAGAGTAAAATGTATTTGGTTACATGAAAAGTATGTTTCTGTAGCGGACTTCTACACACTGTACTTTCACTTTTGAAAGAGAAAGAACCTGAGCTGCAGAATAACTTTAATTGACCAATTATCTGGCCAAATTTAAGATCATTCACCAGAGGAAATAAGAATATGTTACTTCCTATTCTTTTCTTTATAGTATTTGAGAACTATGCTAAGTTTCTATGTAACTAAGTGAAGACCAACCATGGCCTTATGACCCTAACTGTTACATAATAGGGAAGATGTAGAAAGCTCAGCATTGCTACAGTTTATCAAACAGTTGACACTGTGTCTGTATTAGACTGAATGTGAGGGCTAAGCGGTAAAGGAAAAAACACTTCTGAACACTTTGTTAAAGAAGTTGAATCTCATTAACTTTCATCCTCACCAACAATGGCTTTTTCATTCTATTGTTTTTTGCAACTACTGATTTGAAAATGCCATTTAAACTGCAGTAGGTTACAAATTCTGACAAAAATATAATCTTTTATATAGGGTTGAACATGCAAAAACAGAACTCCCCAATTCGGAAGACATTTTTCAAAGACAACACAAAGAATGAAGGCCAAATGTATACATACATATACATAAACACATATAATTTTTTTCCCAAAAGATAGGCAAAAGAAGCAGTTATTAGAATAATGTAAATAGCACCTTTTTTAAAAAGAAAAGTTAAGGAACAATAGAGGGAAATAAATAGCTACTAAAATAGTATATTTAGAATAGGTAAAGGGAACATTTAAATGAAAAGGGATTTGGAAAAAAAAACCCAGAAGAGTGCCTTTAGTGAAGCGTAACTTCATTTTGTTCAAAGAAACCAATGAGAAACATAAATATTATAAAAGCACCAGAAAAGGGTACTCAATACAACTCACATACATATATTTTCATTCATTTTTTACCTCTAAGCCAAGGAATGCCTGCACACTGTTTGTTCTATCCAGACAATCCAAGCAGTTTGTTCGAACTGTACCGCTCTGGCATCTGGAACAAATTCAGCGAAGTTAAATAGCTAGCTTGAAGCAAAAATAATAGAACTAAGACAAAATGAGAAAAATAAAGGTTATTAAAATGTGGCTTCCATTTTATCCCTCAACATTTTATTATTACAATTTTCTAACAGGAAATAAGATGAAAGAATTTTCCAGTGAACATCCATATACCCACCATCTAGATTTTGTAACTGTTAACGCTTTGTTATATTCTTTATCACATATTATCTATTCATTCTCACCTGCTTATTTTTAATTAGGCCAATAGTTAGGACCTTTAACATACATTCAGATTTATAACCCCATAGTTCTTTGCATATAAAAGATAATCAAATGTTTATGAAATGAATTTTTAAGACCTAAGATTTGTTCATCTCTACTGACCTATAAAGTTTCTATGACATTGATACTGACTGCTGTACACACTAAAAACTAAAAATTTGAGCTTTGTTCACTAAAGTTTACCTCAACCTATATAATCTGAACAAATTTTTCAATACTTTTCTCCTCTAAACATTTGTCAGTTCAGAGAAGCAGAATAATGACTTCATAGACAACAGCAGGAGGTCTTGGAGCCAGATAAATCCTACCTCTGACACTTCCTTGTTAAGCAGTTTGGGGTAGAGTATAGCCTACACGTTAATTTCCATAAATGTAAATGGCGACAATAAATGAACTCTCCCTACATTTCTTGTTACTGGTACTTGTAAAGACTAAGTGCAATGCCTGGACCACACTATGTGCTCAATAATGTAAGCTATTATTTTACATGTTCAATTCTCAGGAACGAAAAACAAGCCTATAATCAGGTGTAGTAAAAGAAGGTATTTTATTTAATTGTGAACTTTGATTTAAAAAAAGGAAATTAAGATGAATTTTTAAATTATAGCAAAGTTTCAATTTAAAGAGAAGAGAAACAGAGTAGTCAAACCTTTGAACTTCACTTCCATTGAAATAAAAAAATCCATAATCTAGAAACTTTTGGACTTGAGGTTTAAGAACATTGTGTAATTTTTCTGCCTTTCCTCCTTTAACCATTTGATGATAATCAAAATTCACCATCTGGATATCAGTAGCATGTTCAGAAGCTTTCAAATGACTCTGAAAGTACAAAGGCAAATACTCATTTAAATGTTAACTAAATACGATCTTATCAGTATGATGTTAAAATGGAACCTTGTATTTTAAATTAACCCTCAGCGTGGTCCCTTGAAGTCTTACTATTCTCACAAAGTTCTCAGGGACCCGGAAGTATAATGGAAAACTACTTGCTGACACCTAATAGCATCTTCACCTTTCTCTCTCATATACTATCCCTGAACGATTAGGTTACATAATTAATATCAGGGAACCTGAATAATATTCTCATCTGATTAGGAAAATGAAAAATTATTTCTCACCACCAGTACTTCATTTTATACAATACAAATTTAATCACTTTTTATCTATTAAAGAATCTGAAAAGAAAGTAACTTATTTTTTTAAAACAAAATCAAAGAATGAAAATTCATTTTATACTTTCATTCAATACACACAAATATTTAAAAATTTAGGATAACAACTTATTCTCCAAAGTATAATCTGCTTTGACAACATTTCATGACAAAATAACCAAATAATTAAGTTACGTCTGGACATCATTAGACTGAACTTTAGAAAATATTCTCTAACCATTTTCTTTAATTTAAACCTAAAATCTTATGTAACACCATCATTTACACATTAATTCATCATTGGACAGCACTTATGAAAAACACTTTTCCTTTATAAGTCAGGTGCTTCTTTAGGTTCTTTTTTACTTGAAATTCTCTAGTGTTCTCTCATCAGTACAAGAGGATATAGTCTTGCATATATACAAATGCATTATTTACAAATTCACAGGTTTAAAACGATGACTGTGGTTTCTAGGAAACAGGCAAGGCAATGAACAGGTGAAGGAGGGAACTGCCCGGTACCTTTCTACCTGTGACAGAACATTTAGGGGAGTGTATTCTCTGCTCTTCCACAATATAAACAAGCACATTTTAGAAAGCTGTGTCAATTGCCTTGAAAGCTTTCCATAATACCAACTTTGGTAATATCACCTTGTTTCCTAATAGCCCGAAGAGTTAATGGTTCCAACAAGTACCTAACTTTTTCTAGGAAGAAGTTTTTACTTCCTGGAAGAATCTAATTATTATTGCATTATATTATTTTTTTTATACCATTCTAGGTATGGTGCCCATCGGACAAAAGAAAAAATGATCATATTTACCTGGAAAGCTTTACTTAGCATATGTTCACCTTCCTTAGATCCAAGCAAATTTACTATCATTTGCTTACCATATAAATTCTTTAGTGTTCTAAAATGCCTATTAAAGAAAGGAAATACACATATGTCAAGTGATAAGCTAAAATTTTTTCAACAAACAGGAATCCATTATTAAACAGAAGCTAAGTGGCAGCATTTTAAACTCACAGAACTGGCAAAATTGGACATAAATTCATTCCACGTGGTCTCAAAACTGAATTTATGAAAATTCAGTTAATGCAATTTCCTCTCTGACTTACCAACACTGAAACTTCCACCTATACTGGAGCTGTTGGAATTATCCAGCTACCTCCTCATTCTAAGAGGCTGGTGCTGGACAAGCAGAGAGAACAAAAGTCATCTAGCCTGACTGGGAAGGCAGCTAGGGCAGCAGGCACAGGGCTGCACATCATATGTAAGGACATCATACACTCCATGAGTACTCAGACATGTCTATAATAGCTCCAGCCTTAAGAAAAATGGCCCCAAATATGAGACATTTTTCTCTCCAGCTTCTAACCATTCCAGAGGTTAGAGAGGAACGCTATCCAAAGGAAATATAAAATGAGCCAAAGATTCAGTTTTCTAGAAGTTACATTAAAAAAAGTAGAAATAAACAGGTGAAATTAACCAACATATATTTTAACCCAATACAGCTAAAAGATCATTTCAACATGTAATCAGTAAAAAAAAATATGAATAAGATATTTTACATTCCTTTTTTTTTTCCACACTAAAGACTTTGAAATCCAGTGTGTATTTTACACTTAGGGCATATATCAATTTGGACTAGTCACATGTCTAGTGCTTAATAGCAACATGTGGCTAATGGCTACCATATTTAACAGCATAAACAAAGAGGATGTTTTAAGGCCAAGAGATGAAGACCCACACACCTAGGGCTACCAGCCCTAAAAATCATGACACTAGGTGTCACTTTCTTTCAGTTAAATTAGGAGTCAGAAGAAATTTTACTTATAACCAAAAAAAACCTGAAATGAATTAGTAAATATAATAACAACTAGTCTCACTGTTTAACAATATCATAAGTTTATGGCATTTTGTAAAAATAATGTGTCTTACCTGTCAAAAGCAGGTGCATTGGCTTCAAATCCCCTTGACATACGGACACGATGAGATCCCACCTAGGACCAGAAAAATGCATTTAATCATAGCAAAAGTCAACATGCACAAAGAAAAAAAAAGAAAAGCTTTGTTTATAATATGCAATAATTCATTTGCTAAACACAGGGTTAGCAATTCTTGGCCTGTCTTAAATAAACTGGATTATTGAAAAGGTTCAAGTGGTCTGCAGTCTCTCTCCACAAAAACCATCCTAAAATATAAGAGAGATTCAGCTGTGAACAAAGGAAGCAAGATTTTTTTCTGTCAACTTTCTCAATACTAGAGGCTGAGGCGTTAAATTTAATAGAAAATAGGTACTAGAAGCCTAAAATGAAAATAACACACTTCAGGGACTAAAGAGTTTTGAATAAAAATAAAATGCAAAATCACACTATTATGGGCAATCCAGTATTAGGTCCTTACATGAAAAAAATCTTGTATTTCAAAGATCAGATACTTGTATCAAGAAAATTTTAAAAAAAGAAAAAGATCAGAAAGCAAGCCAGAGAACATATTAAAGATCAAGTCACTAAAAATTCCAAGTAAATTTTAGTATTAGATATATTATTGATAACAATAGTAGCTAACCCTACTTGGTGCTACCCTGTGCGCCAAGCACTTTTCTCAGTACTTTTCATTTCAACCTTTCAACAACCTTGTGGAGTAAGTACTACTAATATTATTATTCCTATTTTACAGATAACAAAAGAGAGGCACAGAGGGGTTGAATCACTTGCTCACAAGTGCATTGTTAATTAGTGGTAGAGTAAGGATCCAAATTGAGAAATCTGGTTTCAGAAGCTTTTTTTTTTAACTACTATATTCTTCTACCTAAAGAGACTAAATTTTTAAATACTCAGATACTGATACAGTAAATATGGTAACACTTTGAAAATCAATGTGCTATGAAAGTATCAAAATTTTAATATTAAATACAGCATCTGAATGTCTAGGGATTATCTGAAAGAATAGTAAAGAAAAAATATCTAAGTTCATGGAACTCCATACTTAAGACCCTCATTTGTGAATCCAGCTAATATTATTAGACTGAATAATAGGACTACCCACTGAACTAATGAACTATACTGAAAGTTAAGAAAATATGGAGAATATTCAACAGAAAAAAGAAAACAAAATAATGTCAAACATATACCTGCAACCCTGGTTGCTCCCAGAACAATGGAACAGATCCCCGGATTTGTATGAAGGAGGAAACAGAATCATCTAAGTACACAACCTACAGAGAAAAATAATAAAATATTTCCACAAAGTTGTTACTCGTACTTTAGAAGACAAAGTTACTAACATCTACTGCATGCTAGTTGTACCATGTGACCAATCTCTCATATGTAAATTATCCTAACAAAATATCCTAAATAGGACACTAAATGTTTGATTTTTTTTGAATTAGTGATTGTTTTCCTATATATTATTAACCAAGAAAATAGTAAAAATTTAAGCATAAGAATCACAAACTTCATTTTTAAGAATTCCTTTTAAACCTTAAATATTTTATATACATACCTGTATGTTTTGTTTAACTTTCTTCTTTAGCTTTTTATATTTTTCAAAACTAACTTAAAGAACTGAGATGGGTTTAGGGAGTGGACTAATTTTACAATTATATAGTTACATAGGCAAAAATATCACAGATTTTAATTTTAGATAGTGCATATATTGGATTTGGTTTAATTTCACACACACACAAAAACTTAACTCATATAGCTCTATACATGAAGGTTTTTAAATTCAATACTAAAACACACAGCATTAACAATGTCATGCTAATTGGTAAAAGTCTTGATACTTATTTGAAAAGTCATACCTAAGTTTGTTCATAAATAAGTTTGTTTCAGAGAAACCTTCTTAAGGCCAGTAAGTAGCTGAGAACAACGAAAAAATGACATTACAGTGTCAAAATGATTTCTGAATCAAATAAAAATCTGTTACCTATTATTTCCTGTACCTCTCATCTAATACATAAATTAAACAATATAAAACACCATATACCTGTTCTGTTTCTACAAAATTAGCAACGTGACCATCATCGTTTGTTCCCCGGACATTAAACCTGGTCCCAGCTCGTTCACAGCTTAGTCTGGAAATGAGGCAAGCCTTCGCCTGTTTATGAGCAGCATAAATTGTTCTGATTTCTACTCCCCCACACATGAGACGTAATAACCAGTCATCACAATTCACACCATAGTGCTTGAGGTGCAAGTGCAAAGATTGATTCCTAACAGAAAAAGAAATAAGTATATTAGCTGACTGAGCACTAGATAACACAGTGTAATTTAAAACAGTGTTCCTGGAACATTAATTTAATGTTATTAAATTATATCACTTCATTTACATTTACTATGCTAGGAATGAGAATAGGGCTATAAAATGAGATTCTTGGGCATGTGATCTATGGTCTGCAGAAAGATGCATATCATTATGTTTTTATTGTCTGTGCCTATTTCTGTGTTTTTTTTATATAATGTATTTACAACCTGACTTTTGCAAAAAATTTCACACACATATCCCCACCCCATTTCATAAAGCTCTACTTTTAAGGTTTGACTTCTGCAAGGTTCTCTTTTAATTTATTTAAATTCAAATAGCCAGATGGACTAGTGGCTACCCTATTAATGCATGCCTAGAGTTTCTCTTGCTCCAAATACTTTTAACTTCTAGGTAACAGATGGGCAAAAGTTGTATTCAAACAAACATGAAGAAACCGATGATAAGGAAACAGAGAAAAGCAGAGTCACAATGGCTAAAGCAGGGATGTGGCTGGAGTCCTGTCAGGTTGATCATCTCCTGCTCACCACCTCCTCTGGGGTCTCTATTTAAACCTTAGTCCTCTGAAAAACACAACTGGAAGCTCCTAGCAGCCTACCACCAAGGAAAACACACGGCTGTAAAGAAAACTTTCTTTCTGCTATTAGTTGATATAACAAGATGCCTTATAAAAGTTAATTTTCTGTAAAATTGAAACCTGGTTCTTTGAGTTTTAATAGAGCATAATAGGCTGAAGTAGAGATGAAGAGAGATGGTGGTCATGCACAGTTCTGGTTAATCAGCCATAGCCCACTCCTTCCTATCCTTCAAGAAAGCACACTGGAATATCAATGAGGGATGAAATTACTACTGGCATAACTTTAAATCTGATGACCATTATTTATTTTAAAAATACAACTTAAGCTTCCATACTTTACTATTACTACCTATACTGATCTCAGACAAAGCTCAAACTGACTGTGACCCAGTATGTCTAGATACCACCACAAGTCCCATGTCACAGCAGAAGTATAAGGGACTTACTTGTCCCTATGTAAGTAGAGTGGGATCCTATGCATTTGTTTAGTAGAGTTTCTCCATCTGCTGTCAGTTTTCTTTACTTATCTTTTTTTTTTCTGCCGTCAATGTGCTGCTATTTTAATTCTGTTTAAATTTATAACAACTTTCGACTGACAGCAGCTTCAAATCTCCAACAGAGAAAACTACCTGGGTTTCTGAGATAGGTGTTTGCCACTCTTTGGCTACAAAACTTACTTGGCTGTGTCCTGGAAAATATTTCTGTTAAGCTCTACAAGGTTACACAGCATGAATTCTTTAGCTTTCACTTTTCTATGCAAAGTGAAGCTCAAGAATGCCAATCCTTAGCAAAACTGTAGAAAGCATACAATGAGCAAAACTCACCTTTGGTGTTTCAGTCTCCCCTTTGTTCAACCTGTCTCCTACTACATAAACCCCCTCCATCTGCTATCTAAATCTGTCCCCACCATTACCCTTAATTGGATGAAAAGATAAATAAATAATTTCTACTGATTAAGTTTAGCAAATATGCTTGATTGCTGATCATTTAGCCAAGGTATATAAACCTGCTTAGATTCCTAATTATGGCAGAAAACCTTTTATCTCTCAAACTAAGAAATTTTGGGTAAGAAAGAACAGGAGGGAAAAGTAAGGACAACTACCCTAAGCCCAGCTGCAACACCTTTATCTTTTTCAGGGACTTCAACGCCTCTTCCATCAGAGAAAGTATAGGGTTGACATAAGCAGAGAGGACCCTATGTCTACGCATCTGCCTTATCAGCCCTTCTCTCCTCTCCCCCACATCTAGGCACCAAATCTCTGACTACAGTGCTCTTAAAGCCTTTTTTCATTCTGCCCTCTTTTCTCCCCCATACCACTACTCTGGGCCAAGAAACTTCCATGTGAGCTACAAGGTGACCAAGCTCTTGCACTTCAATTGTTTGTTTCCTACCCTAGGAAGGTTGCTGTTGACTTGGAGCTCTCTGACATCCAGGGCAAATGGGTCAGACCTTAATGTGCTACTCAAGGACCATACAGGTTGATGGTAAAAGTGTGAGGGTAAGGAAATATACAGGAGGGAACACCTGGACTCTGAACTACTGAGGGAGGCCAAGAACAGAGTCCTGGACTTTGGCCTTATATCACATGTAAACATAATGGAATACAATTTGTACATGGTGTTAATGAAAAAAATCAACACTGATACTGGTTGAGCACAAGGGAACCACTATACTAGAAATTTGGTCTATTACAATTAAACAATACTAATTATATTTATATACTTACCATTTGTGCATATTTAAGTAAAACATATTTATGCACAATCATGAATATATCAGTTACCTACTGAAGTTGTATTATAGTACTAAACTTATCCCAGTATATTCTTTTACAGCTAATTCATTCCTAATTTTAAAATAAGTATTTTAAATATAATTCTGAAGGTATTTTAAATATATTTCTGAAATATATATTTTGAAAGGTCAGGCTAGATCAGGGAGAGTAAATGGGCTTCATGTCACTTACAACTTCAATAAATGTACAGTGGATGCCTGCTATACTGTGTTGAGGATTCTGTAGCAGGAAAGAAGGGTGCTCAATCAACAACCCATCCCTGCAATTTCTGGAAATAACTGTTGAACATCCTATGCCCCAAATCACCAAAATACACAGCACATGATTACAAAGGGAAAAAATATAACACAAACTCACCAGAAAAACCTATTATCAGTTGTGTGCTCTTGCATGCTACGATGTGCATTAAGACTAAGATCTAAACTGATTCCAGATGCAGACCATGCAAAATAAAAGTTTCCTGAATTTAAAACTTTTCGCACTTCTGAAATGCGATCCTCATCTGAAGAATCAATTCGTAGTGATATGAATTCAGTAGAAGTAACTCGGAAAACTTCAGATTCTTGAATTTTTCCAACAGACATACATCCAGTGACAAGGACCAGATAATGTAACATAATATCACCTGCAAAAACCAAAAATTTAATTGGATGAAAAGTCCCAGTATTTTTCAAACTATTCAAAGCTTCTTCCAACTTTCTTCTTGTGTCTCCATCTTTTTAAATCTAACACTGTGGTAATTTTAAACTTATCATGATGTGTTAAGTTCACAACTAGATTTTGGCAGAAGTTGAAAAAGTTTGAAAAAATGCTTGCTTAAGTATGTTTAGTAGAATGAATGATCTCACATATAGGAAATTGTTTCTCTAACCTGTAGGTATATAAAATAATTCAAATAAAAAACACAATTTGTCTTCTCTACTTTTGTGACTGTTAGGAAGTTCAGGTAAGACAATGAATGTGAGAGTTCTTTGTAAATAGTAAACTTGAAAAAAATGCTATATAAATGTGAGCTGTTGCTGCTGATAATATGTAGGCAAAAAGTCCCTGATAACAATTTACAAAGCAATTTAGTTTAGGAAAACTTCCACTGATATTTTTCATCTAATTTTGACAAAAATCTTATGAAATTAGCATGATGGTAGAATTCAACCATGGTGTACCTTGACCATGATGTAGCCAGAAGTGGCCCTGAATCTTGGCTCCACTTCTTATTTTCTAGACCAAGTTCAGCATGCTGCTAACCAACCTGAGATATCCTCTCTTATAAAACAGGATTAAGGCAAATCTCACTGGATTGTGAGGATTACCCAAGACAATTTTAAGTGGGAACCACACAAGCACCTAGGCACAGTGCTTTACATATCATAGATTCATAATGAATAGCCATTCTTCATTTTATAGGCCAGTGTTCCTCAAAGTATGGTCCATGAACTGTTACCAGTTCACAATGAGAAAAAGTGCTTGATGCAGAATGGAAATCAACTACATCACTAAATTCACCATTTAGTTTAGATGATTTTTTCTTCACAGTAAGACTTTATCAATGAAGGAAGCCATGTATTGATTTGCATGATGGTGCAAGCTCCTCATCTCATCACAGTCCAATAACAAAACAATCATGGAAAGGTACTTCGAGTCACACCAATGTAGACAACCAAACTGGTAATCACAAAGGTTACTCTGCAACCCATGATAACATTAGGGGCAAAGAAAAATTCAAACTGAGACGTTCTGAATACAAAGCAGATGTCCTTCCCACTATAAATTGGGGAAATCAGTGTGGTTCCCACTAAGACATCTTTTCCTAAATGCACTGAAGCAAAGAGAAGGCAATGCCCTGAACTTCTCCTTTGACAACTGATAGCAATCCCTGAAAGTGTTCAAAGAGGACACTGCTTCTGGAACTTAAAATCACAAGAGCTGGAGCATGCAGCATGCCTTTCCGGTCACCAAACGTTATTCCAAGATAAGCTTTATTAGCGTTTAAAAGATGTACCACTTAGAGCTTAAATATGGAGTTTGAAACAATATAAGTATCTCTCAAATCTACAGTTATGAAAATAGAAATGATAAAAGATTAATTATATTGAATTAATAAACTTACCAAGATTTAATCGTAAAACACCTAAAAGTCCATATGCATCCAGTACTTTGGAGTATGTACTTTTGATTGCCTCTTTTTCTGCAGATGCTACAAAAAAAAGTTTTAGGGTAAGAAAAATGCCCTGAAACATCAGATTCCATTTAGCTATAAAACTGGAGCTTCAACCTAAAATTTCTAAGCCTAAATTTGATATTCTAAACATAAATATAATGCATAAAATATTTCCTCAACCAATAACTTTTCTTTCCAAAGAGTCAGCAAATTGTTACAGCACCATCTATTAACTAATCCATCCTCTCCCACTGATCTGAAGAATAGCCTTTAATAATATCCGTATTTTATACTCTGGTTTCTCTTCAGATTGCATAAATCTTTCGCTTTTTACTGAAGATTTCTGTGGAGAGGAAAAATTCTGAGTTTTTAGCCAATTTTTTGAGGCCTTTCCTTAGCACGGCTAATAAAGTAATAATAATAATAATAATAATAATAATAATAATAATATCCATATTTGGAGGCTATTTTGACCCTTCTGCTCTGTCCCACTTATCTGTTCGCCTGTCTTACTGCCAGTACCACAGAAGCACCAGCATTGCCTACAGGACACCCAACTCCCTCACAGGGCATCTCAGAAGAATCTGATCCCAGCATACTTCCTCTGCTTCATTTTTCATTACCCCCTCCCTCCTACCCCTTACATCCTGTGCTCTAACCAAATCAAACTCACACCATTGCCCAATCATGCTTTTTTACATTTCTGTACCTCTGCACAGCGATCTACCCTTCTGCTCTATCTAACTTTTGCCTCTTGGCAAAATTCTATTAGCCTTATAAAAGCATTGGTACAAGGCCCCTTTTTGAAACCTTTCTTTACTTTTACTTCTCCAGGCACAGTTCTTTCACAGAGCTCCCTCTTTATGATATAATCTTCCCTTGCCTTTCTCATTATCCACCCCACTCCTTGAAGGCAGGAACTCCATACTATTCATCGTTTATATCCTTGATACTTAGAATGGTGCTTGACACACAGAAGACTGACAAATGTTTAAATTAGGAAAGCTGATGGCAATACTTGACTGAAGACTTTAGCATAGGAAGAGAAAATCTTCAGTCTGGCTTTTGTCTTGATTTAGTTCTTCTGCTATAAAGTTAACCTTATCTTGCTAATAAACATAACACAGAATAATTTCCCCAGAGCAGGCTGTTGTGGTTGTTCTACTGAGAAAATGAGAAAACAAACCCTGAAACTTTTAAAGGAAACCCATTCCTAGTTCTTAGAAAACACACTTTTAAAAATTTGACAAAGAACCAAAGAAATATAAACTACAGCTAGTATGTCAATGGACAAGCATAAATAATACACTCTAAAGCCCACGAATCCAGAAGGTATGACCCTTCCCATTCTCTCCTTTCCCTTCCAGTTCTTCCCTTCTTACTGCCCTCTCATCCACTCTATCCCACACTCCCCAACTCACCTCTTGGCTGACTGGTTCACTCCTTATTTACTCCTCTCTCTTGCATGCATCACCTTTTCCTGTCCTTCCTCAACTATGATACAGAATCGTAGTCCATTTTGGCTACACCTGTGCCCTCCACATTAGAAAAGCATGTAAGCAGATCCTTTTGGCCTTCCCACTTCCTGTCAATCTTTTACTGTGATCTTTATGGAGATCTTGTCAGCCCACTGCTTTGCCTAATACTCCTCAGTAGTTTGCATTAGAGATTTTTTTCCCTTTGCCTCAGAGTCCTTCTTCAGGCTTCCACGAACCATCTCACTTTCCGTGCCTGCTTCATCTGCTCTTAAGTCTTCTTCCTAGTTATCCCACTTCTGCCTCTGAATGAGTTGTGCTTTGCTAGTTGGCAGCAGAGACTAAGACTAATCTCTCAATTACCTGATACTGCTACAGTATGTTCATTAAGTGTGGATTTTTAACTTTATCAAATCACCCAGTATGAAAATGGGAGTGGGGATGATTTCACCAAGCCATTAAAGTTACGGGGATTTGTATCTCATTCTACATTACTAGAGTTCTTATTTTTATTATTACTATCCCATGTGTTTTTAGAGCAGTTATTAACATTCAATGGCAAGGCATACAATATAAAACATTACATGTGAATTATATTTTACAATGTAAAACAGTATTGCCTACCCTAAATATGCCTCATTAAGAGTGCCACATGTACACAAAAACAAACATTAAGAGACTTCTTATAACTCTGATAGTAGAAGGCATGGCTTCCAGGGCAAATATTCTAGGATTTTATTGGTTACATGCTATATGTATTTAAATACCATCACTAATATACTAATATAGGTATCACAAGATATATCACTTTCAGTAGCAATTATCATTTGGGTTCAATATCAGCAGGTAGTAAGAATTAAAAAGAAAAAATACTTTTATTATTAATTCATCATCTTACCTCAGGAAACAAAGTCATTTTTTAACTTAAATTACCATGTAACAAAATGCTCTCCTTTCTAATAATGCCTAATAACTACCTTTTCATTAACTGTGCTCCAATTACATGGCTAGATCATGTCTCCCAGGCCCAATGAAGACCCATCTATTAGACTCTCACTTATTCAAACATGCAAACAAATGTCATGCTGCTTATTTATTTACACCCTCTTATATTCTGAGACTCAAGAAACGAGACAGACAGATATACAAGCACACAATTTAAACTAAAGTGCATATTCTTAGATAAAAGTATGCTAAAGGAAAGGAAAAATAATTGAGCAAGCAGATGATATGTCATTTGCTCTGCCAATATTTTTGTTTCCCCTCAAAATACTAATTGAAATTTGAAAATGATTTTTAGATCAATGAGTAATGTTTTAGCTAAGGTACTTGTATACTACTTCTGTGATGATTATGACAGTAACTAATGCTGGGCTAGGTATTTTTCATGCATTATTCAATTTTCACAACAACTTCATAGCAAAACTACTATTTCCATTTGACATATAAGGAAACAGGCTTAGAGAGGTTACTAATTTGTTACTAACTTGTCTAACCTTAAATAGCCAGAGTCAGAGAATGCAGCTTCATGAGGGGAGGGCCTCTGTTTAGTTTATTGCCCTAGCAATAACTAGGGCAATAATTTTATGTGTAGTGAATTGGTGAATGTAATTTCAGAGCCATGTACACTTTTAACTCCAGATACTTTCGATTCCATAAGAGAAAACTGAGTATCTTATTCCTACACATTTTTTATCTAAAGGACAGTAGATGTTTCCCTATTCTTAAACATGTACATTAAAGATCTGGGAGAGAGTGGAGGGAAGTCCTTTGCAGGCTGTCAGAGCCCAAGCAAACTAAGGAGGATGGCCCTGTGCATGGATTTTAAGCCAGAGGTGGGGAAAGAGGGCATCCTCCTAGGGGGAAGGGCTGATTGGCATGAGAAAAGTCTGAGTTGGTGAGGAGGGTGGTATCTACCCAAAGATATTGGGAGTGGCCTGGTATAGTATATTGGAGCTTGAGAAGAGTGGGTAGGGCAGGGTGTACTGGAGAGAAGCCCAGGACAAGGTAGTGGGATCCCAGTGGGCTGAGGAGGGCACCCACATGGAAGAGGAGGCTACATGGGCAACAGAAGAGTGGTTGATTGATCATATAGGGGAATAATCAAGGATAATGGAAGCCACGTTTCTCACTGTCACACAAGTGGAGTGCAAATATGGAGGGAGAGAAAACTAGAATGGACACTGCAGTACTGATTGGAACTGGAGTTGCCAGTGTGAACTCATAGTTTTCTAGACTGAGATATAAATGAGTGTGTATAATTACATACACATATACATACATACTTACATATTCTTCTTAAGTTTTCTCCATTGAAAGGACCTGGGATCAGCAATACTCCCAACAGCAATGAGCACATGTAGCACCCAGATCTTACTTTCCAATACCATTCTCCACTAAAAGGAATAGGACTCATTGGAGAAATGGCTGATTCCAGGGCAAGGGCAGAGACAAGGGGAGCCTGGAAAATATTCTTGTGCCACAAGTAAGACAGCATTCAAAGAATAATGGAGACATGTGAAAAACATGCAGAAGCTAGCTTGAAGGGGCCTCTACGGAGGAACCTAGGACAATCTGAGCAATGAAATGAGTTATAACAGATTATAACCCACTGAATAAGCCCATTAATTGAAAGCTTAATGGGAATGGTATATTTACATAGTCTCAAAGTACCTCACCTTAAATTACTAATTATAAAGGAAAAAAAAGTGTGCCAGAGATGCCTGGCAGACACCACCTTAACCAAGTAATCAAAGTGTATACCAACAGTAATGGGACATGTCAAAACTGTGTGCCACCTGACAGGAGACAATAAGAAGAACACAACACACCCCTCTGTAATATTCCTGCCAAGATGTATATACCCTGAATCTGAGCATAAGGAACCATCAGACAAACCCAAAATGAAGGACATTCTACTAAATTGGCTGTCATCTTCAGAAGTTTTAAGGTCATAAATGTCAAAGACTGAGGAACTTTTCCAGCTTTAAGGAGACAAAAAGACATGGGAACTAATAGAATCCACAAATCTAAACTAGATCTTTTTGCTATAAAAGTCATTGTTGGGACAACTGATAAACTTGAATGCAGTATGAGGATTAGAAAGAAGTACAGTGTTTAACTTTTTGATGATTATATTGTAGTTATACAGAAGTATCTTTCTAGGAAATAAATAATGAAATATTGTAAGTGATGGGGCATCATTTTATCAACTTACTCTCAAACAGTTCAGAATAAAAGTGCTTTGTACTGAACTTCAATTTTTCTGTGTGTAATTATTTCAAAATTTAAAAAAAATTTTTAATGTAACCAGAGAAAATAAATTTGAAAACTATGTGGGTATATTCCTAAATTCAGAAGCTTTTATCTCTAAACAGCACTAAGATAAACTCTTTTAATATCATGCTATCTCTTTCCCATATATTTTTCCTAATGGGGAAAAAAGATTCCTTTATTTTATAAAACTCTGTGAAATACAGAGAAACATATGATGTAAGAGGGGGAGATCTAATTAGACTTATTGTCACATCTCTCTGGTAATTCAATTCTAGAAAATAATTAGAGGATCTTCCACTATAAAGAGATCACTTAAAATAAGAAAGTCATTCTATTTTAAAATAATGTGTATAACCTTTAGGTAAAACAGCATTTGTGAAGAGTTTACTCCATCCCTCCTCCTCTAATACTTTCCACCTGCATCCCACGCTGCATGCCATCCCCTCCACATGTTCCACACCCTTTCCCCTCTCCTCTTTTTGTTCAAAGTGCTCTTTCCATCTGGAATGTCATTTAGTCATCTTTTCATTTCCAATTATTACCTATCCTTCAAAGCTAACTAAAATGCCACTTCCTTCTTGAAGTTTTCCCTGTTCATTCTGACTAGAAGTACACCTCTTTCCACTCCTTATTTTAAACTACACTCACTCATAT